CTCCCTTGAAAAATACAGACGATCTCACAATATTGAGGCCCTTCAAGGGATTGGCAGACATCGAGCAGAGGCTGCCTCCATTGGATGGTGTGTACAAATTTTTGTATGAGACTAACTTGAATTGTAAACTTCCACTTAAAGCACAAAAAAAAAAAAAAAAGAGCTCCATTGCTAACTGAAAGATTGGCAGTTTGAACCCACCTAGCTGCTCTGCGGGAGGAAGATCTGCTTCCTTAAAAGATTACTGCGAAAAAAAACCTGTGAGGCAGTTCTGTCATATGGTGTCGCTATGAGTGAAGATCGACCGATGGCACCCACCAACAAAGAGGTTTGTCTCACACACTAAAGACATACAGAGATAGCCTATCCAGGGCTCATATGGCACTCGTTTCAAGAGACCCTGTCTTCTATCTTGTTATTCTGCTCTGCATGGTATCCATCCCCACGGGTTCTTCATGATCCAAGATGGCTATTGGAGTTCCAGCCATTATGTCTGCATTCCAAATAGCACGAAGGAAGAAAGGTTGAAAAGCATTCACCCTTCCTTGAAGAACTCCTGAAGTTGTCATTTTCTCTCCCATTGGCCAGAATTTGTCATAACTGCAAGGGAAGCTGGGAGATGTCATCTTTATTTTGAACAGCCACATGCCCAGCTAAAATACTAAGGGTTCTCTTTCTAGAGAGAGGAATCAGATATTGGGGAACAACTGGCAATCTCTTCCTCAGGGCATGATGGGGAAGACAGAACACAAATGAAGGGCTGGAGGTGATACAGAACGGCGTTAGTCTAAAATGTGCAAGATTTTCTTCCCAAGGGGGTGGGTAGATAATAATCTGGACGTGGTACAGGGAAGATCCCAACTCCAATTCCTCAGCCTTAGAAACCTGAGAAATGTGAGGTTTGAGAGAAAAAAAAGCCACTGCTTGGAGGGATTGTGGAAGAAGTGATTTTCTGACGACAGCAGGTTTACCATTACGTCAGGGAGTAGAGAATGAACCAGAGGGGAATTTGCTAGAGGGCCCTGTGGGAGGGGTGGGAAGTGATAGGCCGTGGGTTAGAGGCCAGGAAGGCCAGAGTTGTGTACATGCTGGATAAAATTAGGGTAAGAGGAAGCGTGGACTTGGTCTTGCCTGTAGCTGGGAAGGGTGGGTCTTGCTTGGCCAGAGTGAAGTGTCAAACCACAAATGGCTCCACCTATAAAATGCAGCAAAATGCCTTAGTTTACCCATCACAGCCATCAGGCTACCTCATATCCTCTCCTGCTTTTGCATAAAACACTTGGTAAACTTTACATCTAAGCCTTAGTATCAGCCCCAAAATTATACATCTGAAATTATCTCCCAGGGTCAGAAGGTGATGTTCAAATGTCAAAAATTATCCTTACTAGCTCCACTGCAGAAGGTGGGAAAGCAAGAGAAAAAAATCTGAAATAGCATTTCCTCCACATCTGTAATTTTAAAAACCAGTTGCCATAGTTAATTCCAACTCATGGCAATCCCACGTGTCAGAGTAGAACAGTGCTCCACTGGGTTTTCAATAACTGACTTTTTGGGGAAGCAGATCATGATGTTTCTTCTGAGGTGCCTCTAGGTGGACTCAGCCTCCAACTTTCTGGCTGTCTGCACCACCCAGGATGCCATATCTATAATTTATTATCAGTCTGTCCCGGGGTGGGGGGCACTCACTCCTAGGACACGTGCTTAGCTCCCGACCAGGCCAGGCCCTGGTGCCCTCAGGGATCTGAGATTGTAGTCTCCCTTCTCAGGGAAACTTCTCTAACCAAGATGCTGAGCTACATAAATTTACTAGGAGGCAAACTGTCTTGAGTTTGCAAAACAAAAGCCACGAGAAGTGACCACACACACACACACACACACACAGGAAGCAATGGACACAGGAGATAACACAACTGTCAGTGAGAATTTGATAATGTTGCTTCAAGAACATAGGACAGCATGATGGTGGTAAGGAAATGCAGCATGGGTAAGCAACGGCCTTGGGAGTCAGCCCCAAATCAAATCCTGGCTCTCCACTTACAAGCTGTGTGACCCTAGACAATTTATTTAACCTTACTTCTTCCTCTGTAGAAAGGGCTATTAAATACCTTGCTCAGTTATGAGAAATAATTTAGATACATACAAAATGCCTAGCACATACACACGGCTAACACTTTATTCCACTGGACCATAAACTCCCTGGGGGCAATGACGGTGTCTGGGGTCTGGTGAATGAAGAGGTAGTACTCATACATGCCAAAGGTTTAGTTCAAGGGATGAGGGCACTAACCACCTTGTCAGAACGGGAGCTGCTAACCTAGGAGAAGCAAAACTCAGGATGCTGAGTTCAGAGGCCAGGGCCACGGCAGCCCCGAGACAGCCAGAGACCCTGTCAGAGAAACAATCCCTTATACTTAGCACAGCACGGCATTTCAGAAGAAAAACCCAGAAAGCTTCTGCCATTTTTCAGATGAGAACCCTGCGGTTCTGAGGGGCTGGCTTGCCCATCCCATAAAGTCCAATGAAAAAGAGACGGCATAAAGCATCCCTCACAACCAGATGAGGGACGTTAGGCAAGTGGCGGTTAATGGGTGAAGTGGGGCCTATAGGATGGGACCCTCCCTGTGATGCAACCTAACTTCTGCTCTGAACCTCCTGCTGCTTCCTGGGCCCACAGAAGGACAAAATATGTTAGAGCAGGGCAACTGAAAACAGGCAAAAGTGGGCAGGTTATAAAATCAACTGCCACTTTTGGCATTTTGGTCCTTGTCTGTCCAAGACAGATTCAGAAATACAGAGGGACTTCTGCAGGTGATGGGGGGTGGGGGGTTGGGCGAGAGTAACAGACACCTTGAGGACAAACATGAGTCCTGGGAGCCTTCCCGGCCTGCTCAGCAGCCTTCTTCCTGGGCCCAGTTTCGGGCATTGATGAAGAGCTGGAGCCAGGGGGAGGTGGTCAGAGAGTCAAACGGAGGGGGCCGCCATGCCCACTGCCAGGGTCTCACAGTCCGCTCAGGGTGAGGCATGAGTGCCAGGTGGCGGCCATCAGGGGAACAGATGCCAGCCACGCCCCCTGGGGAGCCATTGGGGTTCAGGGGGTATTGCTCCGTGGGGTTCCCATCATCATCTGCCCAGTGCAGTGGAGCCAAGCCCCTGGCCTCGATCTGGGCTTGGAGTTCCGGGGAAGAAAATGCCATGTAGCCTGGAAGGGAAGGGAAGAGAAGTGAGAGTCAAGTTCCTTCAAGCCCCCAACCCATCCCTCACCCCGAGACCCTCCCCCATCCCATGCTGGGTCCTGACCTTCCCCGTGGGAGCTCCACACGGGCAGCACTGCGCCCTCCATCCCTCGCAGCATCAGGGCCGGCCCGGGCCCGACACGCACGCTGGCCCAGCGAGACTCATAGCGCCCAGACAGGTTGTGGCGCAGCAGGAGGCCCGGCTGGGCTGGCCAGGGGTCACGGCCCATCTCCCCAGCCTCCTTGTTGGGGTCGCCCCCGACCCAGCCCAGCAGGGCCAGCAACTGACAGCCATTGCAGACGCCCAGGCTGAAGGAGTCTGGCCGCTTCCGGAAGCGCCTCAGCTCAGCCCCGGCCTTGGGATGAAAGGTCACAGCCGCTGCCCACCCTGGGAGGGAACAGGCAAGTGAGTGTGAGACCTAGAAGGCCGCAGAGCAGGGGGAGCAGGAAGTGGAAGGGGACGGCTGCCTTCCCCTCCCCACATCACTGCTACATCTCCCCAGGGCCTCCTTCTGCAGAGCTCAGGGCAAGTACACAGGGAGTAAGGGGTTTATTTGCTTAAATCAGATGTTGCCTACTCTTGGGTCAGAGATGGCCCACAGTAAGTTTCTGGTTTGCCCCAAATAAAAAATCTTTAGTTGCCTAGCATTTATTTTTGTTGTCGTTGTTAGCTGCTGTTGAGTCGATTCCAACTTATGGCAACCCCATGTGTGTCAGAGTAGACTGCGCCATAGGGTTTTCAAGACTATGACCTTTTGGAAGCAGATCGCCAGGCCTGTCTTCCATAGTGCTTCTCTGGGCGGGTTCCAACCTCCAACTTTTCAGCTAGTAGTTGAGTGCTTAACTGTTTGTGTCACCCAGAAACAGATGTCTAACATTTAAAAATAAGATTTCATATAAACATCTGGAATTTTGGCTTCTCTTGAAAGACAGACCTGGACCTGCTGAGCCACCTTCCCTGCAGGGTGATCTGTGGGAGCTGAGGAGCGGCTGCCCCTTGAGACAGGCCATGTGCACTCCAGGCTGGCACACCACCAGCCCACCTGCCTTATTTACATTACTTGTAGGCCCTCTGCTGGCATCTGGCCCAGAACAAATGTTCCACTCTCTCCAGGGTATGTGGAGGGGAGAGGCCAATTCCCAGCCAGGAAGCAGGGAGCTGAGGAACGTGTGGGAAGGAGTGGGAGAAGACTGCAGGCTGACCTTTGGCAGAGCCCAACACGTCTGCGTAGCTAAAGCCACCCACGAAGGCCACGCCCCGGAAGGTGTCCAGCTTGATGGCCCCAGAGCAGAGATCCTGCATGGTCACATCCCACACCTGGCAGGACGGGAAAGGGGTGTCAGAAGACACATGGCCTGAGGCTGAAGCGCTGCCCCCAGCTCTGCTCAGCCACCTTGCTGACCTCAAACCCGGCCAAATGGAAGGCATCGGCCATCTCCCGGTCTCCGTTACTACCCTCCTCTCGCAAGACGGCGACTCGGGGGGCAGGACCACCTGGAGGACAAGAAAGCATGGCTACTTTCCCACCCCAACCACCCTGGCACCTTTTCTAGGGAAGGCCCAGACACCCAGGCCTTGGGCTCCAGACCCAGTGTCCCCAGGAAGCCACACACTCCCTCACCAGGCTCCCGGGGCACAGAAGCTTTGGGAAAGGTGGGGGGCAAGCAGTAGCTGGGCCCTGTCCGCTCCCTCAGCCCCTGTTCCTCCTGTGCCACACAGAGCGGCTCTGCCTGCAAGCGGTCCAGCTGGAAACTCGTCTCCTCCCAGAGGGCTCGCAGCTGCCCAACAGGCTCCTCCAGAACCACAGCCCCGTTCACTGACACCCGTACCTAAGAGAGGGGCGGATTCAGGGCTCAGAGAAAGGGTGCCCAATGCCACCCCACACCAGGCTGGCCGAGACATGAACCCCCCACTGCCTCCCCACCCTGGGTGCCCACTGCCCTCTCCCTCACTTCCTCACCATGGCGTGGGGCCCAGCGTCACCCGTGTGGCCCAACTCTAAGCAGTGCAGGCCAGCCTCCTGATAACACTTCAGCACGTGGGCCAGGTTGGGCTCCTGCACCTCCAGTACCAGGCCTGGCTCTTCAGCAAACAGCACAGGCAGCACTGCGAACAATGGGGGGTCAGGGTGACTGGGGGGCTGCCAGGGAATCGGAGGGAGTCAGGAGGGTATGGTCGAGGCCAAGGGTCAGGGGTGGAGTGAGGGCTGGGGGAGTGGGATCACACGTCGCACCAGGTGCTGCAGGAGGTGTCAGAGGGGTGCAGCCAGGAGCATGGTGGTGCCATGTGGTTCAGTGACCAGGGAAGGCAGCACGGAACTCAGGGAGAAGGGGGCTGGGAGACATGCTGTTCTTAAATAGGACAGGATCTGCATGGTGAGCTGCTGCTGAAGACGCAGGAGTGGGGAAGGCAACCTAGGCCAGAGCCCAGACCACAGGTCCTCACCATCGACCCCAGGGGCAGGCACGTCCACCTCTATCCCACAATTCCCAGCAAAGGCCATCTCTAGTAGGCAGGTGATGAGACCCCCATCGCTGACATCATGGCCTGAGCAGAGAAGGCAGCCTGGAGGGAGAAAAAAGCTCAGCAACCTCAAGGCCCAAACCTGATGGCCCCACTCCACCTTCTGGAGAGTCAGGTGGAGTGTGTGAGAATGTGGACCCAGAGCGCCAGAGGGAAGGGCCTCAGCTCTCTCTGCTCTCACCTTACACACTCAACTAAGGAACGCCTGCCACATAACATGCCTGGCACCATGGGCTCCACCATCCGCGGGGCCTCACTCACCTTTCAGCAGCCCTTGGGTGATGCTGAAGGCACGCACCAAGTTCTCAGGAAGGTCCAGGTCGGGGGGCTGCTCCCCAAGCTGGGAGAAGCACTGGGCCAGAGCCGTGCCCCCCAGGCGGTGGTGGCCAGGGATCAGAGGCACATAGAGCAGATGACCTGGGGAGACAAGGCAGCGGGGAGGGAGATGGACAGCTCAGGACTCACAAGCACTGTAGCTCCCAGCCTGCGGTGAGACCTCACCCACCCCCAGTCCCAGAAAGCACAACGGGGCCCAGTGCTCACACCACAGACACCAAGCAAGGGATTATACTCTGAATACACAGTGCAGTGAGGAGGGAGAAGAACCATACCTCTCCCTCCAGGATGCTTGAGGTCTGGGGTCACAGTGGCTGTGATGTCTGGACACACAGCATAGGCTGAGATGACCAGTGATCCTGCAGAGCCAGGAAGAGTAAAAGAGAGTAGACGCCAGCCCCGCCGTTCCTCACCCCCTCCCTGTGGCCCTGGGCCTCACCGGGAGCCCTCACGGTCTCAGTGCCCACGCGGGCAGCCATGCTGAGGGAGTCCTTGCCACCGTCCACTGCCACGCCCAGGGCAGCCATCACTGCCACCATAGCTTCACAGGCGTCGGCCAGAGCGGCACCCTCCTCTGGGAGCTTGGCTGCCCACATCCAGTTCCCACTGCACTTTACATCCTGGGAGGCGGAGACATGGCATGAGAGGAGAAGAGAGATGTGCAGTCGGGGGTGGTAGAGGGACTAGGTGGTCATGAGCATGAAGGGCGGGAGGGTAAGTAGACACTGGACGTGGAAGTGTCCCAAAGGCCTGGGTTCCACGGCAGGAGCTGGGGTACTCACCCGGAGGTCAGTGACTAGAGCAAACACCAAGTTGGTGAGGGCCTCTGCCACGGCCAGTCGAGCAGCGACCTTGGGGTCCAGCAGGCTCTTGACTGGCTGCTCCCCCAAGGCCGTGGCGGCCCCCACCAGCTCCTGGTGACTAAGTGCTACAACTGCTACGTCTGCCAAAGGAGTGTGCAGCGGCCCGACACACTGCTGCTGGGCTACCAGGCCGCCCACGGAGCGGTCCACCTATGGGATGGGGGTTGGGGGGTTGGCAAGGGGGCAAGAGACAGGGAAGGCATGTGCTCCTCTACTCCACCCCCTGTCCTCCACGAGTGTCGGGAGGCCTGGCTCTCCCAACATGGAGAGAAGAGCTCCACTCAGAGGAGGGACAGCAGGGAGACCAGGCCATCAGGGTGGCTGCCCTGCCTCAGAGCAGTCCCCAAAGGCAAGAGGCCAGGGGTAGATGGGTGGCAGGAAGGAGGCAGAGGGCTGAGGGCAGAGGAGGGGTGCAGGGAGGACCTTGTTGGTGAGGTAGCGCTTGCTAGCCACAGCCGGCAGCCTCAAAACCCGCTCCAGCGCCAGGCGCACGCTCAACCCCGGGGGCAAGGTCAGTGGCTGCAGCACGGGGGGATGTCTCTGGAAGAAGAACTCCTGCAACACAGAAACAGGGACGAGGGAGCGTGAGCACCTGAGAAGACAGTGGGGGACACAGGAGGCAAAGCATGAGTAGGGTAAAGGGCAGTCTGCAGGGCTGGGTTAGAGACGGCAGAAACACCTTCCCAGCCCCACTTACCTTCTGAGGCATCTTGCCCAGCACCCACTCCAGCTCCAGGTCCACCGGGGTCGGAGGGGGCGTTGAGGGGATGTCCCCCTGGCCGCTTTTTCCCACAGGACACTCCCGATCATCCACCAGCACTATCTATGTCCCACAGGAACACCACCCAAAGGGAGACACAGAACCCCAGCAGTGAATAACCCTAGGAATCAGGACAGAAATGCTTTCCTCTCCTCTTTTGGCTTCCCCTGTTGAGGTCCTACCCCTCCCCATCTCCTACATCCTGTCCCCCACAACATGTCTGCCACCGTCTCCCATCCACCTCCTCTCCCCTCTTTCCCTTGACAATTGTCCCTTGGGACCATTCCTAGGCCGCTCAACCTGTACTGAACCCAGGGCGAACTCACTTTCCTATTTCCAGTGATGGTGCCCACGAAGCAGGCCGGGCAGCGTTCCCGGGCACTGACCCGACACAGGAAGTCCTGGTGAGGGGGCCTCAGCAGGAGTGCATTTGACTCCTGATACTCGGCCCCCCAGATTTCCAGGGCATTCAGGGTCGGGTCCCCAAGCTGCACATGCATGGGGTGGAGAAAAAAGGAGGATTAGTGGGCACGCTGTCGTCTCAGGAAGTTGCTGGGAATGAGAAGATGGGTGGGAACAGCTGGAGCTGGCAGAGCAGGGTTCGAACTCCTGCTGAGAATTTGCATTTCCACCCCAGATATACTGAATCAGAATGTATACTTTAAGAAGATCCCCAGGTAATTCTTCTGTACAATAAATTTCGAGAACCACTGTTCTACTAGTGGTTCTCAGAATTCGTCCCTAACTAGCAGCATTAGCTTGCCAGGGAACTTGTTAGAAATGCAAATTCTCAGCAGGGGTTCCAACTGGACCTAACTGGTTCGAAGCCCTGCTGCTGAGTGGGGAAATACCAGACTTCAGGGGAGGAGAGGCACCTGGAAGCGGCTGGTGTAAATGATGGCTCCAGCTGGGTCACTCAGCTCCTTCAGGACATTGCCTGGTGAGAAGATTGCAGAGTGAGGTGGTCATCTGGCCAGTCAGAGCCGGGCCCACAGAGGGCAGCTCCCAGCCTCCAGAGAAGCCCCTACCATGCTGACTCATCACCATCAACCATCCCAGCAAGGAAGGCTTCCACCCCCACCCTGAATCTGCCCAGGATGCAGAGTGGGTGGAGAAAGGGGCACAGAGCTGGTCCCTGGCTGCAGATCTACAATGCCCCTTCCTAAACTAAACCTGGCAGAGTAGGTAGGCCCCAGCCCCCTGTCCCAGCCCCTTCCCTCACCATTGCCACCAGCGCCCTGGTCATGGAGGCTGCAGATGGGGTTTCCATTGGGGGCTTCCACACAAGCCCGGATCACACGGTTCATCTTCTGTTCCATCTCTGGGTCTCCCCGCTGCACAGCACCAAAGTCCAGGTCACTGGCATTGTCTCCCTGCACCTGGGGGAACACAAGGCAGAGCTCTGGGAGGCCGGGAGCTCTGACACCCCACCCACGGAGCCCAGGAACACTATACAGTCTGTGTCTTCAGCTATTCCACTTACCTGCACAGACGAAGCAGCTCCACCCCCAACTCCAATCCTATAGACAGGACCCCCAATCTTCACAACCTTCATGCCTGCGGGGAAGGAAGGAGGGCAGAACTGGAATGCTGGGAAAGCCACCAGCAGGGGCCTCTACAGCAAGGAGTATGAGGATAAAGGAAAGCTGCTGTTAGGCGGGCAGGGCCTCCAACACTCCCACTGGGCTGATGGGAGAGTAAAATGGAACAACTTCTATAGAGGACAATTAAACAATATCAATCAAAATTACAAATGCACATATCCTTTGATTGGGTAAATATACTTCGAGGAGAGATTTATTCACACAAGTACAAAAATCACATATGTACAAGATTATTAAACTTTGCAGCACTGTTTTTGTCGGTAAAAAACAGGAAATAATCTAAATGTTAGCAACAGAGAACTGATTAAATAAATTACGGTATATCAATGGAACACTTCCTGTTAGGTGCCACTGAATCGGTTCTAAGAAACATTAAGCCACCAAAAAGGAGAATTACATACTAATATGAAATGATCTCCAAGACATATTGCTAACTGAAAAAAGCAAGATGCAGTGTATGTCCATTTATAGTAGCATAAAAAAAAAAATTACTTAGGAATAAACTTTGTAATACAAATGGAAGAGTTGTACGCTGAAAACTACAAAACGTTTTAGTAGACCCAAACAAATGGAAAGACATCCCATGTTCACAAGTCAAAAGACTTAATATTGTTAGGATGGCAATACTCCCCAATTGATCTACAGATTCAATGCATTCCCTATAAAAATCCCAGCTGCCTTCTGCAGAAATTGACAAGCTGAGCCTAAAATTTACATGGAAATGCAAGGGAGTCAGAATAGCCAAAACAATCTTGAAAAAGATGAACAAAGTTCGCAGGCTCACATGTCCCAATTTCAAAACTTACTACAAAACTATGGCAATCAGGACAGTTTGGTATTGGCATAAGAGAGACATAAGACCAATGGAAGAGAATTGAATCCAGAAATAAACCTATATGCTTATGGTCAACTGATTTTCAACAAGTGCAAGGACCATTCAATGCGGAAACAAAAGTCTTTTCAATAAGTGGTGCCGGGACAATGGGATATTCACACAGGCAAATGAAGATGGGAGCCTACTTTAGGCCAAATACAAAAACTAATTCAAAATGTATCAGAAACCTAAAGGTAAGAGCTATAACTATAAAACGACTGGAAGAAAAACGCCAGTAAATCATTGTGACTCTGGATTAGGCAATGGTTTCTTAGGTAACAACACCAAAAGTACAAGCAACCAAAGAAAAATAAATTGGACTTCATCAAAATTAAAAACTTGTGCTTCAACGGACACCATCAAAAGTGAAAAGACAATCTGCAGAATGGGAGAAAATATTTGCAAATCATCCATCTGATAAGGAACCTGTATCCAGAATACATAAAAAACTCTTACAACTCAACAATAACAAGACAAATAATCCCATTAAAGATGGGCAACGGAGCTGAATAAATATTTCTCGAAAAAAGATATAGAAATGGGCAGCAAGCACATGAAAAGATGCTCTACATCATTATTCATCAGGGAAAAGCAAATCAAAACCACAATGGGATACCACTTCACACCCTCTAGGACGGCTATAATCAAAAAATAACAAGTGCTGGTGAGGCTGTGGAGAAATGGAACCCTCGTACACTGTTGGGGAAAATATAAAATGGTGCAGCTGCTGTGCAAAACAGCCTGGCAGTTCCTCAAAAAAGTTCAGTAGTTGCCCTATGACCCAACAATTCCACTCCTGGGTATATACCTAAGATAACATAAAACATGTTCATACAAAAATTTATCTATAAATAACGGCGTTATTCATAATAGTCAAAAAGTAGAAACAGCTCAAAGTCCATCAACTGACGAATAAAATGAATAAACAAAATGTCATATATTTATACAATGGAACATTCTTCAGCCACAAAAAGGAATGAAGTACTGTTAAATGGTACAACATGGATGAAACTTCAAAATGTTACACTAAGTGAAAGGCAGCCAGTCACAAAAGGCCACATCGTATGATTCCATTTATAAGGAATGTCCCGAATATGCAAATCGAAGAAAAAGCAAGCAGATCATTGCTTTCCAGGGGCTAGGGGAGGGGGAATAGGGAGTGACCACTAATAGGTACAGGGTTTCTTTTTGGGGTAATGAAAAAATGTTAGAGAAGTAAATGGTGATTGACGCACAACTTTGTGAATATACTAAAAACCACCGACTTGTATACTCTGAGGAGCCCTGGTGGCACAGACAGTTAAGTGCCCGGCTGGTAACCAAAAGGTTGACAGTTTGAACCCACCAGCTGCTCCTGGGGAGAAAGATTTGACAGTCTGCTCCCATAAAGACGACAGCCTTGGAAACCCTAAGGGGCAGTTCTACCCTGTCCTATACTGTTGCTGTGAGTCGAAATTCAACTTGATGGCAATAGGTGGGTTGAATAATTTAAAAGGGTGAACTTTATTGTATATAAATTATATCTCAATAAAGTGGTTATTTTCAAAAAGTGTGTACATACGCCATTTGCTTCAATAAGTAGGACACATACACAAGGGTTTATTTATGCAAAAAACACCCCTGGGAAGATACAAAAGTAACTGATCAATAGCGTTGTCTCTACGGAAGGGAACTGGTGGCTGGGGGGCAGGAGGGTTTTTACTGTAAAATCTTTTTCGCCTTTTTTAATTTTGAACCTATGACTGCGATATATATACTCAATAAACAGAACCTAGACTTTTATCTGGAGCCCTGGTGGTGCAGTGTTTAAGAGCTTGGCTGCTAACCAAAAGATCAGCAGTTTCAATCCACCAGCTGCTCCTTGGAAACCCTATGGGGCAGTTCTACTCTGTTCTGTATAGGGCCGCTATGAGTCGGAATGGACTCAATGGCAGCAGGTTTGGTTTTTTGGGTTTAGACCGTATCTAGGAGTCCTGGTAGCATAGTGGTTAAAGCACTGGGCTGCTAACTGAAAGGTTAGTGGTTTGAACCCACCAGCTGCTCCGCAGGAGAATGATGTGACAGTCTGCTTCTGTATAAGATTTACAACCTTGGAAACTCTATGGGGCAGTTCTACTCTGCCCTGTAGGGTTGCTATGAGTCGGAATCAACTCGACGGCAATGATTTAGGCTTCATCTTGATTCCACCAGAGCGCCCAGCACACAGAGTGCTTAATAAATGTTTGCTTGATTGACCTGAGCTCTAAGATAAAGCCCCTGGCACACAGCAAGTACTAGATAAACACTGGCTACCTTGAATTAACAAGGTGTGACCCAGAACAACAGGGTGTGGTGCAAGGGGGGGTCCTTGTTCTGCAGACGTAAACCAGGGAAGAGACAGAGGCAACAAAGACGAAGACTGCCTGGCTAGCATAGAGCCTTGTCCTGCCTTGAAAATGTGTCTTTGGAAGAGGAGACTTGAGCCAGGAGATTAAAAACTAACCAAAGAGCTGAAGTGCTTCCTGAATCCCCCTCCTGCAGCTGCCATGTGCTGGGGAGAAAGCTGGCTGCATGAGACAGGTGGCAGGCTCTTACCTGGCTCTGGGGCCTCCTTGCTCATGTGCTTGGCTTCCATGACCCCGATTCCTCCACTAAACATGATGGGCTTGATCCACTCACGCCGCTGGCCGTCAGGGAGCCGGAGGCCCAAGGAGCGGGAGAAGCCTAGAGAGTGGACAGCAGGAAGTGGGGACAGTGTCTAGTCACCCAGACTCCCCCAACACTCACCCAATTGCATAGCTCCTGGGTCCTACCTCCCACCCCACAAGCCCCTCCAGGACTAGGTGCCCATCACCCCTCCACAGTCTCCAGCCTTACCTGCCAGCACTGGTTCCCCAAACTTATTGCCATAGTCAGAAGCCCCATTACTGGCTTCAATGGCAACGTCCAGCGGCTGGGCAAAGTTCCCAGGATATGGAAAGCTCCGGTCCTCCCAGGGCAGACTGTAACCTGGGAAGGAAGGGAGAAAGTTAGGATGGATGGAAAAATGGAAGATGGAGGAAGAGTCCAAGCTACCAAGGTCCGCCTACACAGTTAGAATGTTTCGTTCTAGGAAGTTCCGTTTTAGGGTGGTGTAAAGCTTTCAATGAAGCATGGTCTTGTTTCTCACCTCCCACATAAGCCTTCCCTGTAAGAGAAGAGTTTGTTAGACTTTCTAAGAAAGTAGACTTGGAGGGCAAGTGACAGTCATAAGAGCGACTTAGCATCACGTTTTCTTTATAAATAAAACTGTGGTTCTGCAATGCCAGGCTGGCAACCTAGGCCTCCCCTGGACTACACTCCTTGTGATCTACTCTAGAGCCCTTGTTTCCAAGAAAAGGCACCCAGATGACCCTTTGACCTCAGAGATCAGTGTCAGCACCTGCCAAGACAAGGAATCTGGAAGGGGAGGTGGGCAGAGAGGAAAAGAGATAGACCTGGGATGTGCAGGTTTCCAAAGCAATAGCCAGCAGTGCCAGCCACCACATGGGCCCCACGGCCTGTGCACTGGACATCTCGGATCCGGCCCCCAGTCCCCGTGGTGGCACCGCTGAAAGGGGCTACTCCTGTGAAGAGAGCAGGGGAGAGGTGTGGGCACCGCAGAGACAGACCCCATCTCTGACCACCCCCATCGGAAATAAGGACAACCAGCCTCCCCTACCCTACTCTGTGATCTCTCCTACTTCTGGGGACCCAGGTCACCTGTAGGGAAGTTGTGGGTCTCTGCTGTGAAGACGACGTGCCTCAGCCCCTGCTGTTCCTGGAAGCAGCTTGGCTGTGTAGGGTCCTTGGGCCGCAGGAACCTGACTTCCTTTCCCTGGATTGCACTGTGGACACATCCATTCTGGACCCTGTTTCCTTCCTAGGATCTGCCACCAACCCAACCAGCACCTGGGGCGCCCTCTCCCTCAGGCCTGAGGCCACCCCAACCTAGTGCAGAGCCCACCTGCTGTTGTCACAGAACTTGAGAACGTTGTTGGGGTTGGAGGATGCCTGGGTGCTCATGATGGACTCAAACAACGAGTGAGCCAGCTCCTGCCCATCCACATGGAGCCGGCCCTTGAAGAACCAGTGTCGGCTGTGCTCGCTGCAAGGATGACGTGGGGAGGGGATGATGGAGGAAACGTGGAGTCGTTTCTCAGGTCTTGCCATGTCTTCACACCAGCATTTAACATCTAATATTATTTAACAAAGGAATCCTGGTGGTGCACCAGTCAAGAGCTTAGTTGCTAATCAAAGAGTTGGCAGTTTGATCCACTCAGCGGCTCCACGGGAAAAAAACCTGGCAGTCGGCTCCCGTAAAGATTACAGCCTAGAAAACCCTATGGGGCAGTTCTGTGCTCTTACATGGGATTGCTATGAATCGAAATCAACTCGGTGGCACCCAACAACATTTCACAGCTACAGCTATAGCCAACTTGTACTTAAATAGGCCAAAATCTATTCCAAAAAGCATGATCTTCAAGCATTCTGTCACTGTAGATTATCCAGACCCAAAATAGAGATAAAACCCAGATCTGAATGTAGACTACCGACTGGGTGGATGGACCCAGAGAGACCTCTAAGCCGAGGGAGAGCCATGTAGGTGGACCCTGTGGCGTTCCCTTCCGACCTCCACAGACCCAGACATCCAAACGCCCACTCCTTCCCACCTATTGGACTGGGCCAAGTCAAAAGCCTCCACGGTGCTGGGGTTACGCTGCAGCTCCCGGAAGCGCTTCGTGTAGAAATCCAGGTCCCAGGAGTCTAGGGCCAGCCCTAGGAAACAAACCCCAGAACAGCTGTGGGACTCAGGCACCACATTCCAGGGCTCAGTGCACCTACTGGCATATCCTGGGTCCTCCCTCTCCTCCGAGGGACCCTGGCTCACCTAGCTCCTTGTTGGCCTTCTCCAGGGCAGACCGGCCCTCACCCAGTATGTCGATGGGGCCATTGAGGGGTGCTGGGGTGTTGTCAGGGGAGAAGCTCTGGACGGGATGAGGGAAGTACTGCTCCGTCATCCGGTCATGCAGGGCAGCAAGAGCGAGAGTCTTCACCATAGCCGAAGGGGGGCAGGCAAACTGGGGCAGAGACACACACAGATGGCAAAGGGTAGAGAGGTGAAGATCTGAGTGAAATGGTCCACCCTCAGCCCTCCAAGTCCTGCAGGACTGAGCCACTGCTAGCCCACGGGTACCTCTGTGCAGATTAGAAAAAGATGCTCCTTCCAGGCAGAGTCTGTGTCAGGATGCACAAGTTAATAACGGGAACTCAGGCTGGATTTTTGCCCATTTTCCCCCTTGGCCAGGTGCCCCCAGGCAGTGAATATCCTGCATAACCATACAGGGCAGGCCCAAAACAGGAATTCCCCCTGCTTCTCCTGTTATTCCCCTAGAGCTTAGGACCTAACGTCTCATCTCTGGACCACCTCTTCCTCCTGACACCCCACTGCCTCACCGAGAGCCAGTAGCGCCGGGTAGTCTCCACGCGATCCACTGCCCCCAGTCCAGCAGCCTGGCATACCGACACGATGTTGGTGGATGTTGGGGTGGAGAAGTTCAGCCTGAGGAGTGGGTGGGATGGTTAGGACCAGAGAGCCCCAGGCAGGCCATCTGGAGCCACCTGGGAAGGTGGATCCTGCACCCTGCTGTCTAGCCAGACTCTCACTTCAGCCGCCTCACCAGTGGCCTCCAGCGTCAGGCCTAATCACCAAGAAACTGGCTTTCAAAGGTCACTCAAATCAAACCATGACTGTCCAAGCATCAAACCTGCTGCAATTACAACTTCTCAGAACACAACTTGTTTTACTTCCAGAGCATCTCCAGAGCTAGCTCAGCCTTCAAAAGCATCTTCCCAAATGGGGAAGGCATGTGCACAGCTTCCTAGGCAGGGAGGTAGGGTGGAGGCAAGGAAAAAAAAAAGCATCTCCCCAGAAATCACAAAGGTGGAAGCAGAGGAAGGGATGTGGAAGGGCTGGGCAGTTGTGTCTGAAGGGCATGCTGGAACAAGTTGCTCCAGGCTGAGACACTCACCTGGGCCCTACCTCCAGTACCAGGTCACTGGGGCCAGGACAAAGCCAGGACTCCTGAGCGACATCATCCAGCAGTAAGGGGCAGCCAAATAGCCACTGTAGCTTCTTCATGTCCTCAGTGCTTGGGAGAGATTTAGCTGCAGGGAGACAGGATGAGGACACCTTGAGACTGCCCCCGGCACCCGGGCAGCTCCCCAGGGATCCAACACCTGGGCCCAACCTGTCCAGTTCACATTGTAGCACAGCTCTGTCTTGACACTCTGCAGCTCCGGCAGCTTCTCTTGCAGCTTCCTCCGAGTGTGTCCAGAGGCTGCACTCTCATGGCCAGAGGGACGGACATAGAAGCGAAGGACCAGGGACATCTCCGCAGATACCCCTGTCTAGAGAGATGAGTAGGGTTCCTAAAAAATAGCACTAACTATAGCCCATCTGTTGAACCGATTTCAAGTTTCAAGGACAGGTGAAGCTTTGGAGCAGTAGGGATGAGGTGGAAAAGAGTTAATAGGGGTATTCAGATAAGTAAGGGTAACCTAAAAAAAACAACCTTGGGGGTTTTAACTAGTCCTGCAAAATGTGGGCCTTGAAAATGTGGGAAGGGTGTCCAGGTGCATCCTCAACAAATGTTCCTTGACATTTGCTGGGCCCCAGGTGAGGTCTTAAGGCCCAACTAAGGTTTCTGCCCTCATAGAGCTTACATTTTACTAAGACAGACGGGAAAGTATCCGGTCCGGTGTGGCTATGGCCAAGGGACTATGGGTATCAATCTAGCATTTTAGGAGTGAGGACGAGCTGGATTGAACCAGACCGCTAAAGTCAAATGATGCTTCCTCTACTCAGTGCTTTCCTAATATCATGTCCCAACTCAAGACAAATCCAAAGCCTTTAGCCTGACAATGAAAGGCCTTCCATATTTATACCCAATTATTTCCATAGCTTCTCAGCGGGACCCTGGCTTTATTCACCAAACCCTGCCTGGCCTCCTATCTGCTCCTTTGCATCCCTCCTGGAATGCCTATGCCACCCAATCCAAAGCTTCCCCATCCTCCAAGATGAATACAGACCTCCCCTCCTCTGGGATGCTCTCCTCGCTGCCCCAGCCCTCAGGGATGCCCCTCCTCAGCATCAGCCATTCAGCCATGACCACACACATAGGGCTCACAGATGTGCACTACCTCTTCCCAGCAAAGCAAGAGAGAAAGACGCTCATGGCCTGACCTCTGCACTTGGATGACTATAAGTGTCTGAATTAATTCTTTGACTACTCCTAATTAATTATAATAAATTAATTAATTATAAGCATCTGAATAAATCATTTGACTACTCCTGTCAAGATCACCAAGGATTGCGACGTTGCCAGTCCAGAGGTCACTTACCTGTTCTTTCCGTACTTGACATCTCTGCAGCACATGACCTATTCATTTCCTACTTCCAGAAACACCTTCCTCTCTTGGCTTCAATGACACCATACTCCCCTGATATTCCTCTTACCTACTGGTTGCTCCTTCTCAGACACTTGTGCTGGTTCCTACTCTTCTGTCCAACCTCTAAACGTTCCTGGGCCTCCTTCTTTCTCTTCTCTCTACATGCTCTTCTCTAAGTAACTTTGTCCAGTCCCATGGCTTTAAATACCATCTAAGAGACTAAACCAATACAACTGCCAGCATTCAACCATTTTTGGCCAAAAATGGCAATTTCATATGGTTCTAGCCATTCACCAATGTATTGCATGACTTTATTCAACCCTGAAACTCCAGACAACCATATTCAAGTGCTTACACGACACCTTCACGTGGATGATGGCTGTTTCAAGAACACCACAAATGGTCTATTATAGCCAAAACAGAAATTTTGAGTTATCATTTCTCTAAATCTGCTGTTCCTCTACTCTTTCCCATTTTAGTAAACACATCTTAGCAAAAAACATAGAAGTCAACATTAATTCTTCTTTCCTCATCTTTCCACACCCAATCCATTGGCAAGTTGTGCTATTTCCAAACATATCTCAAATCCCTCCAATTCTCTTTACCTCTTCTATCACCACTCTACTCCAAGCCACCATCATCACTCACTTGGACTAACGTATTGGCCTCTTGACCAGCCCCCTCAACCACAATCCATTTGCCACAAGTCAGCACAAATGAGATTATTGCTTCCCATCACACACAGTATAAAATCCCAACTCAGTACCCTGGCTTACATGACCTGGCCACTGCCTACCTCTCCAACCTTATCGCACACCAATCTCCTTCTTACCCACAAAGTGGTTCCTTTCTGTTCTTCAAACTTGCCAAGCTCTGTCCTGGAATCCATTTTTTTCACCCTGATATTTGCATGCCTAGCTCCTTCTTGTTATTTAGCTTTTCAGTTGAAATTTACCTTCTTGGAAAGGCTTTCCTTGACTAACCACTCTGAAGCAGCCAGTATCAGATAGTCCTATTTTAATTTTCTAAATAGTACTTCATCACTATCTGGTATTTTTATTTATTTCTTGTCTACCTTCCTAACTAGCGAAACCCTGGTGGCACGCTTGTTAAAGCACTCGGCTGCCAACCAAAACGTCAGTGGTTCACACCCACCAGCCACTCCTTGGAAACACTATGGGGCAGTTCTACTCTGTTCTATAGGGCCACTATGAGTCGGAATCGACTGGAGGACAACAGGTTTAGTTTTTTTGTTTTTCCTAACTAGAACACAATCTCCCCGTAGGCAGAGACTGTAGCGGCTTCATTTCCATTGAATTCCCAAGGCTTAGAACAATTTAAAAAAAAAAAAAAATTGCAGTGGAGTCCATTCGGACTTATAGTGACCCCATGTGTTCAGAGTAGAACTGCACTCCATAGGGTCTTCAAGGCAGTGATTTTTCAGAAGCTGATCGCCAGGCCTTTCTCCCAAAGCACCTCTGGATGGCTTAGAATCACCAACCATGCAGCTAGCAGTCAAATGCTTAACCCACGGACTCAGAGCAATAAACCAACCCAAACCCACTGCTGTAGAGTGGATTCCAACTCATACCGACCCCATAGGGTTTCCAAGGCTGTAAATCTCTACAGAAGCAGACTACCACATTTTTCTCCCACGGAGCTGCTGGTGGTTTTGAACCGCCAACCTTAAGGTTAGCAGTCGATTGCTTTCAGGGCTCAATTAGCAATACCTGGGGCTAAAAAAAAAAAGACAAAAAAACTTGACTGACTGCACTCTGGATTCCCACCACTGCCACCTACCATGTCCTCTCCCCCCACTTCAGGCCAGTCTCCATCATTTCAGTAACTGACACTCCTGCCAGATCAGTCTTGATTCCTCCCTTTCTCTTAGCGTTCCCCATCCCATGCTAGTCACCTTTCCTAAAGGAGGTGCCTGTTATCCTCCATACCATAATTCCTTCATAAGAATCACCTCAATCCCAGTGAAATGTAAGCTCCAAGAGTGCGGCCCAGGGTTTGTCTGGGTCACGGTTGGATGTCCAGTGACTAGCACAGCACCTGACACAAAGTAGTCGGTCGACAGATTTGTCAATTGAATTAATAAATGGGGGGAGGGGGGCCGCCTCTGTCGGGCGTCTACGAAAATCACGCACGAACCCACGAACGGACGCCTACTCTAAAGCTGGCACGCAGGCCCCAGCTAGACGCAGCTCGGCCTGGTGGGGATACCAGAGGGGCCTGAGTCAGGTTTGGGTGACCGGCAAAGGGCTGTACGGAAAAGACCAGCGGCCCATACTCACGTGGAAGCGGCTCTCGCGGCCTGAGTTCCTCGAATCATGGCGCGCTCGCAACGTCATCCACGTGCGCCGCGGGCAAAGAGGCGGGAAGATGCCGTGGCGCCTCCAGCCGCCGGGGCGGAGCCACCGCTGAGCTCGCAATTAGATTCCCTGGGAAGGCGTCTTTCTCACGTGGTTTATCCCACGGATTTGTTTTGAATTGTCGTTCGTGAAAACACAGTTCCATGGCTCCGCCCCTCTTGTCCCTGCGCCCACTGTGAGGGAGACTAAGATACTTTGAATGCAAGAAACGGTATCAGAAGCATCTTCCATATCCAGCAGTTTCCCTCCGTCTTATCCCCTGGCTTTCTTTCTCTTTTTCTGAATCAACGAATTTATTTAATTCCTAGCTGAGTGGGAGGCACACATTTTTAATTTCTATACTCTTGCTAGCAACCAAAACCAAACCCTTGCCGTCCAGTTGATTCCCACTCATAGAGACCCTATAGGACAAAGTAGAACTGCCGCATAGGGTTTCCAAGGCTGTAATCTTTACAGAAGCGGACTGCCACATCTTTCTCCCATGGAGCAACTACTGGGTTTGAACCTGCCGACCTTTCAGTTTGCAGCCAGCCCAGTGCTTAACCACTGCGCCCAGGGCTCCCTACTAATAATGACTAACAGGTAACAGGGTCGCTGCAAGGTCTCTACGGGTCGGAATCGACTCCACAGCAGCGGATTTTGTTTTGTTTTTTGTTTTTTTAGGAAATAGTTATTGAGCACTCGTGTAGCTGGCCACTTGATGTGATCTGATTTAATCTTCAGCCAAAAAACCCGTTTTAAAGATGCGGAACCTGAGGCACTTGCAAGTACTTGTTCTTTAGTTTTGTAAGCGGCAAACGGCACTCTCTACCTGCGTACATCTCTTTTTGAACAATTTTTAAACCCTTATAATGCCTGAATACGTGGTTGCATGAGTCAGGATCCTATCAGAAAACAGATGGCACAGTCGAAAGGGTTTAACCAACATGAATTCAATAGAGTGTATTTACAGAGCTGTGGGTAGGGTTAAGGCAACCAACAATGTACAGTGGGTCACCCAGAGCCTGGCAACATCAGTAAGCTGTTACTACCCTTAGGCTTGAAGGCACAAATGTTATGTGAGCTGGAGAAGAGCTGGAGCCACAAAAGAGGGGCCTCTAATAGTACAATGAAGCCACAAGTACTGTGTTGGTGGGGGGGAATAAACATTCAGCTCTCTCTCCTCCTACCTTCTACGCTCTGCCAAACAATTTGAAGCCTGATGGCAAGGAAGCTGGGGTCGTATATCAGGGCACACAGACAAAAACCAGACAAAAGGTTTGCGTGTGGGTGTGTGTGTGTGTGGTAAAATATGTATGAAAAAACATTGCCATTTCAACCACTTTTACATTACATATACAATTCAGTGACCTTAATTACATTATGTGGTTCAACCGTCACCACTATCCATTTCCAACTTTTTTTCATCACCCTTAACAGAAACTCAGTACCCCTTAAGCAGTAACTCCCCATTCCCCACAACAATCCTGACAGCCACTAATAAACCTGGGTCTCTATGCATTTATCTATTCTAGATATTTCATGTAAGTGAGATCATACAATATTTGTCCTTTTGTATCTGGTTTATTTCATTCAGCACAATGTTTTCAAGGTTCATCCACGTTGTAGCATGCATCAGAACTTCACTTCTCTTTATGTGTACGGATATACCACATTTTATTTATCCATTCATCTGTTGATGGACACCTGGGTTGTTTCCATCTTTTGGCTATGGTAAATAACCAATGAACATTGGTTATGTTCATTGAACACTGAACTGCAATGAACATTGGTGTACAAGTGTTTGAGTTCTTGCTTTCAATTTTTTTGGGTATATACCTAGGAGCAGAATTGCTGAGTCATGTGGTAATTCTATATTTAACATTTTCGAGGAACCACCAAACTATTTTCCACAGTGACTGCACCATTTTACATTCCCACCAGCAGTGGATGAGTGTTCTAATTTCTCCAATTCCTCACCAACACTTGTTATTTTCCGTTTTTCTGATAATAGCCATCCTAGAGTCAGGCAACACAGAAATATTCAGAGTAAAAAGTGAAAGTATTTCTTTACCCTCATCCTTTTCCCCATTCCATTCCTCTCCTCAGTGCAGGGCTGGAAGTAGAGCGAGGTGAGGTGCCTAGGGTGCAATTTTTAAGTGAGTGTTTCCTTAAATTTTTCAACCAAAGTGTCTCACTTGTTTTACCCTAGTTCCTGCCCTGCCCTAAGGTAACTGTTATTACCTGTTTGGTGTGTAAGGTTCCAGGCTGTTGAAGTAAGTATTCTCTGGCTCACTCCTGATAGAGGCCCTATGTTGATTCTTAGCATCTGAGCACTCCTAGGTTTCTTTCCCTCTAGACACTCCCCAGCTTCGTCTCATACTTTCCTTCCGGCCCTCTGGGAGCCTTAATTTGCTCAGCTAGCTGTCTGTCTGGGTGGTCCTGTCTACACATTTTAGCACTCCCAGTATGTCATAATGTTTCGCCGCTACATAATGACTTCCAGATTCATCAATCCTGAGTGTGGTGCCGTATCTCCAGCTGCCTCTTGGACAAGCACAGCCTGCTTCAACATCACCCAAACTCAGACAGCATCCACTCCTCCTGACTTCCTTCCCTTTGTGACAGAGACACCACTCTGCTCCATGCTTTCCTAAACCCTCTCCCCAACCTTATTAATGCAAGCCTGATCTATTTCACTGGCCTGCATTCCACGTGCCCCTCTTATTTGGTCCTCCATACTACCACCAGATTTTAATCTACACCTGACATTTAAATCACACCAATGGGGTGCGGTGGGAACTGCATCCATGCAATTTTCTCTGACCACTGTAACCGAAACTCTCCCACCTATGAACTGTGAAAAGTGAATCCCAGGATATAAGGCACATTGTCATGGATTTGATAAATAAAAGGGGTTTTCCAGAGTTCAGAAAATACTGAAACAAAGCCCCAAAGTTTAGGACTTTGACTAGGCTTTTACTGGTATTCTAACAAGGCGACCAGTGTGGCTGGAGTGGTATGCAAGAGAGATTTCAGCTTCTTCTGGTGGATTTCTTTCTGTTGTTGTTTTTGTGGAAAGGGAAGGAACACATCTCTGATGTAATAACAGGAAATAACTGCAAACAAAGATTCACTTTATAAAGCACTCGGCACCACAGTGTGTATCTAGTTTATGCAAAAAGGAATACAGAGTTTGCATCAAAAGTGAAGTTGAATTAGGGGATACCATAACTTGTAGAATTAAAGTTTTTATTTTCCTGTTAAATGACTAGAGCTTTCTTGCTAAAATGTTTATACTTACTACATTATAATCAGTACTTATTTTATCTTATTCCAAAAATGACTTGAAGCAGCTATAAGTGTATACCGGTCTTCAACACCCCTTCCTCACCTTACTATCTTGTCTTCCTCTCTTCCAGCCACACTGATTTCTTTGCAGTTCTTCCTGCCACAGTCTTTGTGCTTGCTGTTCCTTCTGTCCACTCTTTCTTTCAGATCCTCATCATCTGAATCCTTCATCTCTTCAGTTCTTGAAAGTCGCCTTTTCAGTAAGGCCTTCATTCTATATAAAAGAATGCGTTCCCTATTTCTCTTTTCATGGCACTTATTACTAATGTTCTGGAGCCCTGGTGGCACAGTGGTTAACAGCCTGGCTGCTAACCAAAAGGTTGGCAGTTTGAATCCAGCAGCCACTCCTTGGAAACCCTATGAGGTAGTTCTACTCTGTCCTATAGGGTCACTATGAGTTGGAATCGACTCAATGGCAGTGGGTTTATTACTAACCTTCTACACATTTTACCTATTTGTTAGTCAGTCTCCTTGTACTAGAATGTAAGCTCCATGATAGCTGGGATTTTTATCTGCTTTTTTTTTCACTGCTGTAACTCCAGAGCCTAGAACAGTGCCTGTCATATAGCTGAATGGATTCTGTACATTCCACTGCCTACTAGAAAGAACACAAGCTTTCTTTAATCTATTCACAAAACCCTATCAAGTTCTTACTTAGTGACAAGCACTGCCTTAGGCACCAGAATACAAAGATAAATAGAGCAAAGCTCTTGCCTTCCAGGAGCTCACAGTCTAGTGGGCGAAACAGTGAAACAGATAACTACAGCAATGAATTAAGGTCACAACACAAGTATGCCTGATGTGCTCCGGGTGCGCTAAAGAAGCAGCACTTCTCTCAGCTTGGCAAGATCAGGGGTATTGAAGGATGCTTAGGAGTTACCAACCAGGTAGGCTGTTTTGAGCTCCCACATCCCATCCCACCCATCCTTGGGTGGGATGGGGAGGGGACAGAAAGCCAAGAGGCCTTAAAAAAGAATGCCATTGGATTTCGACTCATGGTGATCCTATAGGACAGAGAACTGTCCCATAGGGTTCCCGAGGCGCCGACTGCCAAATTTTTCTCCGACAGAGCAGTTCGTGGGTTCCAACCACCGGCAGTTCGCTTAGCAGCCGAGCGCTTATCCACTGAGCCACCGGGGATCCGTAAAAGGCCCTAAGCCACGTTCCAAAGAAGCAGGAGACGAGCCCGGAAGTAGTTGGAGGAGGAGCCGGACGCACCCCAGTGACGTCAAACGGGCCTCCCGTGAATCTTCGCGCCGGCCCCCGCTCGCGCACTTTCCAGAGGTGGCGCCTTCGGCGCGTTATGGGGGACGCTGGGACTCGGGCTCTTACCTCCGTGAGTGTTGTTCTCTGTTCGTTGCCCGTCTTTCGTCTGTCCTGGATTTGCTTTCTTCCCTAGTTCTCTGTGCCTTGCCTGGCAGCCCTGGCCGCGCCTGGGTGGGGGCCTGTGAGGCAGTTCGTTCCTGTTCTGCGTACGAATATATGTATGTATTCATGCGGCGCCCGTTGCGGGCCTTAAACCGTGTCAGTTCTCTCTCCTGCGAGGAAACCATAAGCAGCCTAATGGGGGAAATACAGGATGTGGGTTCCTGGAGGAGACCCCTGACGCAGCTGTAGGGGAGTTGGGTAACTGATAATCAGGAAAAGCTTCTGGGACTCGAAGGGCCTGTGGCAGTTAGCAAGGTAAATAAGCGCTGAAAGGTTTCAAGAGCAGGCATGTTTGAAAAACTCAAGAAGTTCAGTTCAGTGGTGGTGGAGTTGACAGCCTTGTAAGTCTTGCTAAACAACGGCTTTAACCGGAGGCTAACTGGGAGTTGTTGAACGGCCTTAAGCAGAAGAGAGATAGGAGGAGATTTAGGTTTTAGTTTCCTGTCCTGGCAGTGTAGAGAGAGTGGTCTGGAGAATACCAGTTTGAAGGCTGTGGTTGAAATGAAGTGAGAGGTGGTGGTGACCCCAACCATGGCAGCAACGGTTATGTTTCAGGGGTGAAGACAGAGTAAAAAGATGATAAGGAGATCAAATCTAAGGGACTTGGGGCCTGTTGAGGAAAAGGAAGGTGTTAGACAGGAAGAACATCCAGGCTTTAGGGTAGAACAACTATTTGGTTGAGGGTGCTATTTGCTAAGTTAGTGAACATTGGAAGAGAAGTTTTTTTTTTCTTTTTCTTAATAATTTTTGTTTTTTTGAGAATATACACTGCAAAATATACACCAGTTCAGCAGTTTCTACATGTATAATTCAGTGACATTGATTACATTCTTCGAGTTGTGTAAGTAACCATTCTCACCCTCCTTTTCTGCGTGTTCCTCCCCCATTAACAGACTCAGTGTCCCATAAGTTTTTTATCTTTTGAATTGCTTTTGTCAACTTGATAGGAGTGGATTTTGTGAAAACTTCAGTGTTGAGCATGTATGGTGGCTGTAGGTCAGCCAGGTGGAGAATCTGGCAGGTAGATGGATATGGCTAGAGCTCAGGAGAGAGAGCTCAGCTAGAACAGAGACTTAGGAATAATCAGTATGTATAAATGCCTAGTAAAGCCATGGCAGTGAATGAGGTCATTGAGGGGAACATGTATTGTGTTCTCAAACTTTAGCCTGTATCAGTTTTATCTGGGGAGCTTATTTAAAATACAGACCCCTGAGTCCTCCCCCACCCCGCCAAGATTCTAATTTGGTGCATGACATCCATGAATTTGCATATTTTAACAAAACTTACGTCTGTTTCTGAGGTAGTTATACCACTTTCAGAAACAGTGGTATTCAATGAGCAAATAAGTGCACAGGCCATCAGAGGAATAGGAGCTAAAAGAAGAAGACAGGAAGACAAAAAGTAAAAGAGTAGAGCCTGGGCTTTGATTACATTGGTGGGGCAGTTGTGAATGATGACCTGGTCCAGTGTCCACATCCCTGACTTTGAGAGTATTTGATTGAGGTAGAGTGAAGGTGAAGGTCAGTTGCTGGACTGTCCAGGAAAAAAAAAAAAAAAACAACCCATTGCCGTTGAGTCAATTCCAACTCATAGTGACCCTATAGGACAGTAGAACTGTCCCATAGCGTTTCCAAGGAGCGGCTGGTGGATTCAAACTGCCAACCTTTTGGTTAGCAGCCAAGCTCCTAAAACCACTGTACCACCAGGGCCCGGATGCTGAAGTCATCTAGAACCTAAAGACTGATTCTTCAAACTGCTACAGAGTTTCATTGTGGAGGACTGACCAGAAAGTTAATAGAGGAGCCTTGGAGGAACAGAGGGGGCTGTGATGGCTTAGAAGAATCATTGGGGATCAAGAAGAACAAAGGTCCTTCCCCTAAGCATCATTGAACTCCATCAGAATTTTAAAATAAAGTGCCTAGCACTGGGAGTAGGCCAAGTTAGTCTCCTTCCCTAGAGGTATTTTTTTTTCAACATTTGTTTTTATTTTTAAAATATGAATACCAGAAAAGTTTAAATTACCTATGTGGTTTGCATTATATATGTGTATATATGTGTAGACATAGATATGTAGGTATAAAACACACAAAAAAAACCTTTGCCATCGAGTTGATTCCGACTCATAGCGACCCTATAGGACAGGAAAGAACTACCCCATAGGGTTTCCAAGGAGTGCTTTTGAACTGCTGACCTTTTGGTTAGCGCCAAATGCTTAACCACTGATTTTTTGTTGTTGAAAATATACACAGCAAAACATAACATCAATTCAACAGTTTCTACATTTACAATTCAGTGATACTGATTACATTCTTTGAGTTGTGCAACCATTCTCATCCTCTTTTTCTGAGTTGTTCCTCCTTCATTAATATAAACTTACTGCCCCCTAAGATTCCTATCTAATCTTTTGAGTTGCTTTTGTAAATTTGATCCCATATAAATGTGTGTTTTTTTTTTTTTTTAAGCTAGTGTCCAGACACGTGTATGTCCAGAATCTGTGTCGAGTATATAAAGGTGGTCTGTGTCTTCCTTAGGAAGCCTACGTTTTAGTTGAAAAGACAACAGGAAACATATCTAGCGGGATTATATCATATATGCATTTAGCTTCTGGAAATTCAAATATATACAGTTGACTAAAAAAACGGGAATAATTAAAAATTATACTCTGCCTTTGCCCTTTTTACGTATTGTCTATTATTGGGCACATTTACATATACGTGTTACTGTACAGTGGTATGTCCTATTCTTTAAGGGAATGTAAGGGATTTTTCCAAGGGTGATTTTCACCATTCTTGCTTTCAACTTGCTATCTTAGAACTAGATCCCATGTACAATGGGAAACAGCTGTACCTGGTGATTACTGCTTTTAATAGAGAGATGTGCAAGGTGCTATGAGAGCTCTGAGGAGAGAGCTAATTCTGCCTGGGATGGGTGAAAGAAGGGTCCATAGAGGAATGTACATTCTAGTTGGGCGTTTGGAGGATTGGTACAGGTTCCCACCAATGCTCCTTAAGCACAGCCACGATCTGTGTGTCAGTAGAGGCTTGTGTGTTACTCTGATGCTGAACAGGTTTCAGGAGAGTTTCCAGACTAAGACAGACTAGGAAGAAAGGCCTGGTGATCTACATCCAAAACTCAGCTAGTGAAAACCCTGTGGATCAACGGGCTGATCCCATTGTGCATGGGGCCGCCATGAGTCGGGGGCTGACTCGACAGCAACAAACAACCGTGGCAGGTTTGATAGGTAGAGAAAGAGGCAAGATCAAAGCCAAATGGCCCCTTGTCCAAGGGACTGACTGTGTGATCGGACTAAGACTTAAAACTCCTTTACTTTTGGTCTTCAACTCACATACCCTATTGTTGCTTTTTTACCCCCTATTTTTCCCAGACATTTTCTTTGTGGGCAGGATGGTCAGGAAGATATTTTAACGAGAATTGCTTTCCACAGGAGCAAGCCTGGCTTGAGGCTGCCCAGGCTTTCATCCAAGAGACCCTGTGTCCAGCTGGCAAGGAGTCAAGTGTCCAGTTGACTCAGTTGGTAATTGATTGTGTGAAGACGGTCTGGTTGTCGCAGGGAAAGAACCAGGGTTTTATACTGCCCCTCAGCTACAGGTAAGGAGAGGTGGAGGGTGGGGAGGAGGTTGAATTTGGGTTTTAAAAGGAAGTACCCTGTCTTAGTTACCTAGTGCTGCTGTAACAAATACTATAATTCAGTGGCTTTAAGTAAAAGTCTGAATTCAGGGTACCTGCTCTGCAGGAATGCTCCCTCCCCAAGGGAGAGGGGCCTTGGCTCTTTTTCAGCTTCTGTTCCTCAGTTCCTTTGTGACCCTCATGTGGCATGACATCTGTCTGCCTCTGTATCTGCTTGCTTAATCTGTTCTTTTATATCTCAAAGTAGTGATTTAATACACATTCTACGCTAATACTATCACATTAGCATGACAAAGAAAACCCATTCCCAAATGAGATTATAACCACAGGTATAGGGGTTTGGACTTAAACAGCACATATTTTGGGGGACACAATTCAATCTATAACATACCTATAGTTAGAAAAAGGAGGAATGAAAAGAATGAGGGAAACTTGCTAAGGGGAGGACAAGGTGGTCTGAACACACCCCCTCCTGCCAAACTCTCCCATTCTCCGTCAAGCTGCTTTCCTCTTCCTAAAGCTCTCCTAAATTGGCTTATGTTGTGAATAGAGGAAAAGGGAAGAGACAGATGGTACTGTTTGCCTTTTGTATATTAGGAAACTAAGATACAGAGATTGTATGACTTCACCAAGTGCCAATAGTAGTGTTTAAGAGGACTTGAGTTTAAGGTCTTCTGAGGATAATTTTTTTTTTTTTAAACTACACTACCATTTCCTAAATTATTCTAGGCAATGGTAAAAAGTACCGCAGAAAAGGATTCCATGGCCAAAAGAGTTTGAGAGAGATTGGATACCATAACCTTCTCTAGGAGAGACTGAAAGCTCATTAACAGATTGGAGGAGCCCTGGTGGCGCAGTGGTTGTGAGCTATGGCGAGCTATGGCTGCTAACCAAAAGGTTGGCAGTTCAAATCCACAAGTTGCTCCTTGGAAACCCTATGGGGGGCAGTTCTACTGTGTCTGATAGAGTTGCTATGAGTTGGAATTGACTCGGTGCCAGGAGGTTTTTTGTTATCATATTATTTCTGACACACCTTACAATTGATAGTGACACAGCAGTGTTGCAACATTCTGTTTAAGAATTGCTGATCTAAAACGTCTGTTGATATTTGGAAACTCTTGATAATGAACTCCCATCTCAGCCTCAGCTTTCCAGCCAGTCTCTAGTACTGCAATATTCTAGACTGGGAAGGAAACCTGGCTTGCGCCAGTTGTGGTTGAGGCATCAGTTAAATGCCAAAGCGGCCCCTTTGGAGTTTTCTATAAAGATAAGAGCTGAGATGCTTTCAAGGTAGCTGTTTGTGGTATCTATAAAGTGTTCTCCCCACATGCTTATACTCTCAGGCTCCTCTTGCAGGCTTATTTCATTTTCTGGAGTCCTCTCCCTGGTACCATCTTATTCAAGATAGTATTCAACACACGGTTTCTTCTTGCTTTACCTAGGTATAGCCTAGCCTTTGGACCCAGACCTCATCCTCATTTTCTTAGGCCCTTACCCTCAGCTTTCGCTGTTCAACCAGTCAGACATACTCATCTCCTGGCTCAAGTTTCCCATTGACTTTTCCTTAGGGGATTTGTTGGGTTGGGGGTAACCTCCGAGGCTTAGACCTGGCTTTGCGGAACTTCTGCTCCCTTTGCTTTACAGCTTTGTCTCAGTACAGGACCTCAGGACCTATCAGCATCTCCCGTGTTGCAGCCATCTGTCCTGGAGCAGTAGTGCATACCAGGCTTGGGCCCAAGAGGCTGGACCAAATGGGGTCCCCTTGCCCCAGGAGCGACTGTTACTTTTAGGGACACTAACAGATCTATCAGGGGACTTGGAACAAGAGTGCAGGAATGGAAGCCTCTACGTGAGAGATAACACTGGTGTCCTAGGCTGTGAGGTGAGTCGGAAGAGGGAGTGAGATGCCTCAGATCTTAAAGAGAATGGTGTCTAGGGAGCAAAGTAGTGAAGTCTCAGAATAAAGGTGGGGGAAGGGGTAGATTGGATGCCAGGGTCCTGGTAACCCTTCACCTTTGTCTTTTCTAGCTCATAGATCTGGACCTTTCTTGGTTGGGCCATCTCTTCCTTTTCCCCAGTTGGAGTTACCTCCCTCCTGCCAGGCGGAATTCCTCAGGGGAAGGACACTTGGAGCTCTGGGGTGCCCCTGTGCCAGTGTTCCCCTTGACTGTCAGTCCTGGCCCTGCCTCACCTATTCCTGTCCTCTACCCGGAGATAGCTTCCCGCCTGCTCAGGCAGAGGTAAGTGTTCCCTCTCTAGGAGAGGAAGAAGTGCTGTGAAACTTGGAAGTTGCTGGTGGGTCAGAGGAAGGAGGGAAAGAAGGGTATTAATAGTAATATAGCTGGAATGTTCCAGATCAAGGGAATTATAGGGCCTCTCAGAATGTTAAGAGCAAGGCTCCGCAAGAGAAAATATGCCTTATTTAAGGGCCAGGAGAGTTAAAAGGAGGTTTTTAGAATAACAGCTTTGGGCTGTGGAAGTGTTACATCACTGTCAGATTATTCTTCATATGAGAAAGGAAGACATTTGTAGGGAAAATAAGAAAATTAAAAATGACTTCTTGTCTCTTTTCTTCCATCCTAGAAGCAAGGTCAGAGTTGTATACCCAAACCTGGCTGGGAAGCTGGTTCGATTGAGTGCTCTGGTGAATAGTCACAGGAAAACTTACTTTGTGCTGTCTCTTGGGAGTTCATCCCCAGCTGTCAGCCATGTGCCCATTGTCGTGCAGGTAAGGATTAGGGCCGGTTCAGAGGCATGGAGATGAGAAAGGGCTGTTAGAACTCTTAATAGGAAAGATAATAGGGAGAACTACTTAGGAGAGGAGGGCCGCTGGGGAAAGGTTGCTTTCTGGAATGATGCTGCTGTGTACAGGACATAGGGAATAGACTTTCCTGCTGTGGAGCATATTTGACTAGACAGCTTTTGTATCGTGTATGAAATTTTGAAAACTGCTAGTATCGCTGAACTAGGAGGATGACCAAGAAAAATATTCTTCTTAACACCATTAGTACATTGAATAATGTACTTTTTAAAAATTTGGTCAACTTATTGTTGAATCTTTTTATATTTATTGGTATAATTTAAAAATGATTGATCTTTAAACCAACTATAGTTTTATGATTTATGTAGTTATCTGAATAATGTTTCAAAAGCATTCAGAAAAATTAAAAAATGAGAAAGCTAACATGCATATCAAAAAAGGAAACTGAGATTTATTAGCATTACGAGAATTCTTACCTCTGGGTGTCTGTGTGTCATAAGCTTGAGTAACAGTGATTAGAGTGTAAAGGAACTAAAAATGTTAATTTTTTTTTTTTTTAATGCTAAAAATAAAATGATTAGAGGTTGCTCACATTTCTGATCTTTTCTTTTTTTTCCTCCCTGAATGAAAGAGGATGTATTTTTCTTCGACATTAGAATGCTTTATATGTACTAGACACCATTAGAAAGTTCTTTGAAGGCCAGGGTTGTCTTAATCATGTATTATGTATTAAGGGAGAAATCTCTGAAATGCACTTGAGTCTGCAGATTTCCTAAAGTATGCTAAGTCCTTTGGGTAGTTTATAATCTTATTGTAGATTCTATGTTTGTTTTATGAAACAGAGAATAATACAAAATGGTATGGAAGTTTGAAGAGGTGGGGTATAGTTCGTAACTACTGTGGTAGGTCAGCTAGAGTAGGCACCTTGATCTGTTCAGAGGCACAAGATTGATTAAGATAATGACCCTTGTCCTCTGGGCCATCTACTCTTAACCAGAGAAGTCTGTCAGCAGTTACTGTGCAGGATCATAAGTCCCATGGGAGATATGTGCACATGTGTGAGGCAGTCTGAGAGGGTTGGTTTGTTTCTGGGCTGGTGAGAAAACAGGGTGTTTGAGGCATGTTGCTCTAGTGACCCCAGTGAATCTCTCCTGTAATGGGGGAGCTGGTCATCTGAAAATGAGGGACTGAACTCTGAAAAGAGGAGTAAAGCTTCAGAGTAACTGCTGTGCTAGGTAGTTGAGGATAAGAGATTGCTAAGCAGTAATGGGCCCAGCTGGAGAGGGTCAGCATCCATGTTTGGCACTGGGGTGGCATGGGTCTGTCTTTTTGCCTTAAAAGTGGATTTGAAGGCACAGAGTTGTAGTGATACAGTATTGGTAGACTCAAGGTGAAGGGTAGAAAGTGGTAGTGAGGGCAGGATTCAGGGGCTAGGTATTCAGGTTCTAGCGTTCAGACAGGAAGGGAAGATATTGGAGGTACTGGAGATACTGGAGGTCATAGTGAGAGATTAGAATGTAAGTTTAATGAGTATAAGAGGAAGAAGTGGAGAGCAGAAGCACCAATACTTATTTGTTCCTTCAGTCAAACCATTATTAACCACTTGTTTTGTGCCAGACAGTAACTTTTGTTGTTGTTGGTTGCTCCTAGCGAGCCCATGTGTGCAGAGTAGAACTGCTCCGTAGGGTTTTTAAGGCTGTGACCTTTCAGAAGCAGATCACCAGGCCTGTCTTCTGAGGTGCCTCTCGGTGGGTTCAAACTGCCAACCTTTTGGGTAGTAGGTGAGCACTTGTTATGGATTGAATTGAATCCCCCAAAAATGTGTGTTGTAAATCCTAACCCCTACACCTGTGGTTATAATCCCGTTTGGGAATGGGTTGTCTTTGTTATGTTAATGAGGCAGTCTTAGGGTAGGGTGTGTTTTAAGTCAGTCTCTTGAGATTGAGCAAGCAAGCTGAGATGAGGCAAGGTAGGTGCCAGGCCACATGAGATCTCCAAGGGACCAAGAAACAGCTGAAAAGAGACAAGATCCTTCCTCCAGAGCCGACGGAGAGAGAAAACCTTTCCCTAGAGTGGGCGCCCTGAATTTGGATCTCTAGCTTCCTAAACTGAGAAAATAAATTTCTGTTCATTAAAGCCACCCACTTGTGGTTATTTCTGTTGTAGCAGCACTAGATAACTTACACAGCACTTAACCGTTTATGCCACCCGGGGACTTTAAGTAAGGTCCTAGCAGAACCTTGTGATGAGTTGTGAAGTCCAGAGTCTGGTGGTACTCAGCTGGTCTTAGAGTAGAAATAGAGGTCTATGAAGTTATGCAGAAGGGACCGTGACATTCAAGTGTCCTGAGTCACCAGTGTGTTTTGAAGCCCCTGAGAATGGCAGTAGTGATATGTTACTCCTGCGGGAGGAGCATGCTCTAGAAGACTGTTATATTTATGAACAGCCCCGTCCTTGAAACTTTCTTCCTCTTGCTTAAATTTCTTCAACAACCTCCCTAGAGTCTTCCTTCTCCAGTCCATGTTATACACTGCTGTCAGATTTTTATTTTCCTGCTTTGCTTCTCATTTGCCTATAAAGTTTTCAGCATGGCATTTCTGATTTTTGCCTTTGTCTCTTTTTCCCCCATCTTAGCTTTTCCATCTTGTCTCTTGCAGCTACCAAAAACGTTTCCTCTTCTCCATCCTGGCCAGTGTTTTCACAGCCCCCAAATCATGTCTTGCTCATTCTGAGTATTTCTGTGTTGTCTCCTGTTTGAATCACCCTTCTTTCTTTTCTCCACTTAGATAAACCAGATACATCCTTCAGGACACTGTTCAAGTTGCACTTCTTTCATTAGATCTTCTTCATCATTCCAGCCACCTGATTTTCTTTTCTCTGAAACCTTACTGAATATGTATTGTTTTTGATACTTGATCATATATGACTCTATATTATTATTTGGGTTTGTGCTTGTGTTTCCCAGTGGTTTGAAATATATTGAAAAAAGGGAACAGTTTGTTGTATTTCCCTTAACATCTGCCCCAGTACTGGGTACATATGTATTCAATATATATTTATTAAATAAATAAAATTGTTTGTATGTTATTGAATAGGAATAGGGAAATGCTGAAAAGTGTATAATTTTCTCAATGGAATATATTTGTATTTGGGGGAAGTTCTGGGGATGGTTTGTATCTTGGGAGAGGAATTAGGAAGTATTTGACACTTCCCTTGTGAGGGGAGAAATCCGGAAAGTTCTGTGGCTTGAGATTTAATTGGTAGACAGGGAAGATGAAGAGGCAGAAGACAGACTATGAGGAGCAGAATCTTTGATCTCAAATTATGATGGAAAGGGACTCCGGCAGAGGGACGGCTTTCGTGGAAAGTGTCTCATACACCTTGTTGTCTGCTTCCGCATAAGCCAGGTCCCTGCCCAGCTGGTGTGGCACCATGCCCTTTGGCCTGGTAGGTCCTATGTGCTGACAGAGCTGCGAGTATCCAGGATCCGCGAGCACCCTTACCGTGTTTGGACGACCAGTCCCTCTTCCTGTCTGTTGCCACTGAAACCAGAATGTGTGCGGGAGCTGGAACTGGAGCTGGAAGGACCCCTGCTGGAGGCTGACCCCAAGGCACTCCCTATGCCCAGCAATTCTCAGGACAGGAAGGGGAAGAAAGGTCTTATCCGGAACTCCAGACTTCTCTCATATACAGTGAGCATAAGGAAGAGATCCCGGAATTCATGGGGCAGGAAATGTGGGTCTCCAAAGAGGAAGGAAATAATGATCAATTGAACCTTCATCCTTTTTGCAGGGAACGGTCACTAGTGTACTGAATGAGCCTGCTGGCTTCTATGAGCTGGACGGGCAGCTGGGGCTCTGTCTCGCCTACCAGCAGTTCCACAGCTTCCAGCGGGTGGTGCGACCAGGAGTTTCTCTGGAGGTACGGGGGGGATTGGGGCTGGTTACAAGAAGAGGCCCACTCAGCAGCTTTTCTTAACTTTATAAGCTGGTCTGTTTTCGAAGCAAAGTACGAACTTATATAGCAAAAAATAGAAAAATAATGAGTTGGGAGAGTGGTTTTGTTAAGAATGATTTGGACAAGCATTCAGAGAGGACTTCCAGATCAGAAAGGAGTAGAATCTTGCTCATTGTGAGGAAGCGTTGAGGCCAGAGCGTCTCCTTCACAGGAGGGCCTTCTAGCTGGAGGAGGAGCTGGCTGAAGCTGACGCACAGGTCTAGGGCCAGGATGCTCCCAGGTGGTCTGGCAAGGAACCTCAGCCACCCCTAGCCAGTAGGAGCTACCAGGCCCACAGAAAGGCAGAGTAGAGCATGTGGGAGACGAAGACTTGTGGTGGGGGAGTGGGTTGTGATGGAAAGTGAGGCATGGAAGCTGGAAGGAAATAACAGCCTTTATAGAAATTGTGTTTCTTTCTCCTGGAATCTGGGCGGTGGAAAACTCTGCCTGGGGTCATTGAATTGGGGGCTTCACCTCTGCTTTTTTTCACTTTTTCTACTTTTGTTCAGCTCCAGGATGTTCACCTTCTCCAGTCAGTGGGTGGAGGAACAAAAAGGCCAGTGCTAGCCCCCTGTCTCGGTGGTGCCGTCCTGGTTCGTGGCTTCTCTCATCAGAAGCCCAAGACTCAGTCATCCCACCAAGCCCATGGGGCCTCCCTGTATGAGCAGCTGGTATGGGAACGTCAGTTAGGACTTCCCCTCTACCTGTGGGCTTCCAAGGCCCTGGAGGAACTAGCCTGCAAGTGAGGAGGAGGAGGGTCTGGGGTGGGAGTGGGACACTGTCTCTGTAAGGGAAGCAGGATCCTTGAAGAGACAGGGACAGTAGCCAGTAGCTTGGGTCTTTGGGGGAAGTGACGCAGCTTCTTTCCCTGGCCAAGGCTGTGTCCCCACGTGCTGAGGCATCACCAGTTCCTGCAGCGTTCCTGTCCTGGGAACCCCAGCCTAGGACTGCAACTCCTGGCTCCTACCCTGGATATTCTACCTCTGCCAGGCAGCCCTGTTCGGAATGCACACAAGGAGATCCTTGAAGAGCCACATCACTGTCCCCTCCAGAAAGTATGAGGATGTGGGGGAAAGATGGGTGGCCTAGCTAATGCGTTGGAGGGGCTGCCTGAGGCATGCCTGGGGCACCTGTGGGGCGCACAACATGATTTCTTTTCTCTCCCTTTCAGTACACCCGGTTGCAGACTCCCTGCTCTTTCCCCACGCTGGCTGCCCTGAAGGAGGAAGGGCAGTCCAGGGCCTGGGCCTCCTTTGACCCTAAGGCCCTTCTGCCCCTCCCAGAGGCTTCCCACCTACCCAGTTGCCAGCTCAATCATCGCCTGGCCTGGTCCTGGATCTGCCTGCTGCCCTCTGCCTTCCACCCAGCCCAGGTAAGTGGGGCTCCATCAGTGCTCCCTCTTTTTTCCATCCCCACTGCCGCAACCCTAGTTCAGGTCACTTTCATGTCTTGTCATTTTTAATAATTTTCTTTATTTGTTGTTGTGATTGAGAATATACACAGCAAAAAACATACCAGTTCAAGTTCCTGCATGTACAATTGAGTGACACCAATTACATCCTTCGAGTTGTGCGACCATCCTCGCCCTCCTTTTCTGAGTTGTTCCTCTCCTGTTAACATGAACTCACTGCCTCTTCAGGTTCCTGTCTAATCTACTGAGTTGCTTTTGTCAACTTGATACCATATAGATGGATCTTAAAAGAGCATAATACTCAAGGCAGACATTTTTTATTAGTTAAGCTGAACTTTTGTTTGGTTTTAAGAAGGCTTCAGGAGATATTTCTGGTTTAAGGTTTAAAGATTATTTGAGGGCAGTGGTTTCAGGGGTGTATCCAACCTCCATGGCTCCAGAAAGTCTGGATTCCAGGATAATTTGAAATTCCATTCTGCGTTTTCTGCCTTTTGATCAGGTTTCTTCTGTAGAATCTTTTATCAAAATGTTCAGTGGTTGTAGCCAGGCACCATCCAGTTCTTCTGGTCTTATGGTAAAGGAGGCAGTTTTCCATGGAGGCAATTAGGCACACATTCCATTTCCTCCTATTCTTGATATGTCTTGTCATTTTAACTGCACTAGCCTTCTAACTCTGCTGGCCCGTTGGTTCTTGGCCCCCTCCAGTTCATTCTCCCTGCAGCAACTAGAGAGAGTTGGGGTAAAATGTAACTAGGATTGTATAACTCTCTTGTTAAATCCTCCCAATGGTTCTCCCAGTGCATGTAAAATAAAACCCATACTCCTTACTATGTCCTGTGAGGTCCTGCATGGTCTCCTGCTTCTGACCTCATTTTGTACCACTTTCTCTCCACTAAGTGTGTGAAATGCATCTGCATTTTTTTAATGTCAGCATTTTTTTTTTTCATGTCTATTTTCCCCTACTCGAATATAAGTTCTTTGAGTTCTGACCATGTCTTTCAGGTTTACTTTGTAGCTCTGACGTTTAACACAGTGCCTGGCACATAGGAGATGCTCAGCATTGTTTAATACTTGGCTGCCTTCTCCCTGCAGGTTTTACTTGGTGTCCTAGTGGCTTCATCTCATAAAGGTTGTCTGCAACTTCGGGACCAAAGTGGTTCCCTGCCCTGCCTTCTCCTGGCCAAGCACTCACAACCTGTCACTGACCCTCGACTCTCAGGTTTGGAGTTCAGAGGTGAAGAGAAGATGGTGGCAGGGTAGAGGTTCTTAGAACCTGGGGAGCCTGGGAGAAGCATCTCCTGGGATGTACTAGAGTCGCTGAAGTGGCACATGGCAGTCAACATCTTTTGGGAGAAGTTTGGGAGACCAGAGTTGGCAGATAAGAGAAAAGGAACAAGGGGATCCCTAGCCAGAACTAAATTCCCAGCATTTATTTCTCCCATCATAGATCCAAACTTTGCAAACCAGGATTCCAACCCATTTCCCATATACTTGGTTGGGAAGAATACTGATCTTATTTGGACTTAACTGGGATTTTTAGACAGGGAAACCCTGATTTAGCAACAGGCACTTTAGGGATCTGTGAGAAAGTAGAATGAAGGCTTTTCAGCCTAGAGGCTGCATTGGAGAAGCTGATGGAATGCTTTCTCCCTTGATCCCTCGAAGGCGGGGTCAGTCTGGGCCTGCATGTTGTGTTAGGGGAGCAGCACTGGCTGAGCAGTTGAGCGGTCAGACCTGCAGAGTGGTCTACTCCACTCCCATTCCATAGTTCTCTTGCTAAAGAGAACATTTTATTCTTCAAGGATGCCTGGTGCGGGCAGAGAAGTTCCAGCTGATTGTAGAGAGGGATGTCAGAAGCAACTTCCCATCCTGGAGGGAGCTGAACATGGCAGCCTTCATCCAGAAGCAGCAAGCCAGGTTGGATCCTTAGGGTAGAGTCTGTATCCCCGGGTCTCTGAGGGGAAGAGGAAGTGGCGCAAGGAACACCCAGTGCTTGTATCGCTAAGGACGCCATTCCTTGTCTCTCCCAACAGAGTCTATGTCCAGTTCTTCCTGGCAGATGCCCTGATCCTACCTGTGCCTAGGCCCTTCCATCGTTCAGCTACCTCCTCAAGACTTCCTCAGACAGAACCCCCCAACCCAGATGGACCCCACATAGGACAGAGCCGGCTATTCTTGCTATCCCACAAGGAGGCCCTGATGAAGCGGAACTTTTGTGTCCCCCCAGGAGCCAGTCTGGAGGCGCCCAAGCCCACTCTCAGTTTCCATGTGTCAGGCAGCTGGCTTGGGGGCACCCAGAGGAAGGAGGGGACTGGATGGGGCCCACCTGAGCCCCAGGGAGATGAGGAGAAGGATCAGAAGGTAAACTGGGACTGCCCTCTTGTGTCCCACTCCTGCTTGGGACGACCCAGCTCCCTGCTCTTCCTCATCACAGGTTCTCCTCATCTTCCTTGGCTCTTCAGTCCGCTGGTTTGAGTTCTTGCACCCAGGGCAAGTGTACCGACTTGTGGCTCCAGGCCCCCCCGTGAGTGCCCTACTTCATTATACTCTTCCTCAGAAAGCTTTCTTGGCTTGAGGTTGGGGAGGGAGAGCCAGTGCCTGGTCACTCTCTAGGACCCCTAGAAGAAGGCTGGATTTAGAGAAAATAGAAGGCCCATCTGTGTCTAGATTACATCCTTCCCCAGGCTCCAGGAAGCAAGACAACTTAGGTTGTAGTGTTTTATGAACCCCTCTCTGGACAAGAACACAGAGACAATCGTCTTCCCGTTTCCTGACAGACACCAACATTGTTCAAGGAAGGCAGTTCATCCTGCATATCTCAGCGGCCTTTGGAGTTGGCTGGCTGTGCTTCCTGCCTCACTGTCCAGGATGAGTGGACCCTGGAGCTTGAGCGTTCCCAGGACATCCCAGATGTGCTGGGTATAAACAAGGCACTTCCCGAATCCTCGATGACTGACTTCCTCAGTAGCAAGTAAATGTCAGACTCCTCTAGCTAATTGGTTGCTCTTTCTTTCCCCAGTGTGGTTGGGTTTGGTGAACAGTTTATTCTCTACTCCAGCGTGTGTTTCTTTAATGTGATTTTGCTCAGAGAGAAATGATGGCAGTATAAGATGGAAGTCATGTTTCATACCTGATGTTTCCTCTGGTAGTTTTGGCGTGATCATGAGCCAGCTTTTTCACAGTTAAGGAAAAGTCTTAGCAAATAAAAGGTGGGGTGGGGGAGACCATAAGAAAATACGGCAAGAAGCTGAAATTCTAAAGAAGGGCCTTCCTTTAGTACAAGAAGTGGCTGGTTTATGGCATCAGGAATAACTGTGTTTTCCTCATAAGCTTCTTGGGGTAGCTGACATTGAGGGAGGAGGGGGAGTAAGCCCAGGGTATAATGATAGACTGGCTGTGATTCTAGGTGTGAATTCAAGTGGAAATTTAACTCTGCTATAATTTTTTGTTAAGGGCTCTGGTTACGAATTTGTATAGGTTTTGAGTCATCTGCCACAATCACATTATTCCCATAAGCCCTGTTACTTTTACTGTGCCTTTTGGCAGAACATGAGGTTTTTCAGGACCTCGTATATGGTGTTTTAGTGGAAATGCCTGTACTTCAGCTTTTTTTTCTATGTTTTGACCTGACCCTCCATTCTGTGCCTTCTTACGCCTCCATTCTCGGTGTATGACCCTCCAGTTTCACAGATTCCTTGGTGTCTTTCTCAGCTGAGATTTTGTCACGATCACTGTGTGAGCCACTTCCACCCCCTCTCTGGACAAAGCCCGGTAATGACATCTCCTTTGGGGTGAAGGTGTGAAGTAGAATGATGGGATGTTGAGGTCCTGACAGATAACATCCTCCTTTTCCTTTTGCAGGGAGCCCTGGAGCTGCGAAAGCGTGTGTGAAGCTGACCGTAGCTCTAGAGACTGCTGACTGTGAATTTCCCCCTCACCTGGGCATATATATCGAAGACCCATACCTGCCTCCCCCACTAGGACTCCTCCCAGGAGCTCGAGTCTACTTTAAACAGCTGGAGAAAAGGCTTTCCAGGTGAAGAGCTAGGTTGAGTGACTGCCTCCTCTCCCTATGGATGTGATTTTTTTTTTTTTTTAATTTTTAAAATTTTTTATTGTGATGAAATATATGTAACAAAACATTTCAACCATTTTTATGTGTACAATTGAATGACATTATCTGTGTTCACCACGTCATGCACCAGTCACCATGTGGTTCTCTTTCACACTCTCTCCCACTTCCCTACGCTGCAGTGAAACTTCTGTTTGATAATGTTTTTGACAAGGTAGTCTGACTTGTATCTCCTCCATCCCCACAAGGTGTTCTAGACCAGCCCTTCCCTTGTTCTTCCCTCAGCTTTGGTAGAGCCCGGGCAAGTCCTCGGGGAGTGGCAAAGCCTATGATGCGTGATGCCTGATGCCCCAGCCTCTACCCCAGTCTGCCTTCTGTCCTCCTCCTCATCACTCCTCCCCCTCCATGTGCAGATCCCACAACGTGTACTGTTGTTTCCGGTCGTCCACTTACGTGCAGGTCCTGAGCTTTCCCCCCGAGACCACCACCAGGTCAGTGTCCCCAGCCCTGATCCTTAACTTCACTGCTTCCGTCCATATTGCCCTGCCCCTGGAATTTTTGCCACAGTCAGTCTTCTCCAACCCTGGCTGGATGTGTTGAGTCAGGATTTCCTCTGCCGCAAGTAAAAAATGCCCAATACCTGTCATTTCACTCAGAAAGATTTAGGGCTCTAGGCCTTGGCAGCTTTTCATTCTGAAATGGAAATATGCAAATCTCTCTTTCCTGGCTAGCATCTTGGTTGTTCAAGCCTGAGAAATAATTGATGACTATTGGAGATGAGGAGAGTACTGGTACCCATTGCTGTCCCTGGCCCCATGCCTGTTAACTTCTTCCAGATTCACCTTGTTTTCAGAACCCCTTTGACTGTTTCTTGACCCGTCTCTCTCTCTAGCACCTCCTTGCCCCACATCTACCTGGCTGAACTTCTGCAGGGTCGCCAGGCCCCATTCCAGGCCACTGCCTCTTGTCATATCGTTTCTGTCTTCAGCCTTCAGCTCCTCTGGGTGTGTGCTCATTGTACCAGCCTCTGCCTCCAGGTATGTAAGGGGGCAGACTGAGCTGGGTGCAGGGTGTCAGAGGGATATGGGACTGAGACGATTTTTCTAACTACTTTCTTCATCCCAGGGAAGGTGTACTCATCAAGGCTCCACTTGCCCTACTCAGACCTCTGTAAGCCAGGCCAGCATCAGGTCAGCACAGGGTGGGCTTCCCTTGCACTGTTGACTCCCCAGTTGATTGTATGACTTGCCATACTTTATTAGGGTCTGCAAAAATACGGACTATGTCTGTCTTGTTATCCCTCTGCTAACATAATTCCTGGCTCATAGGAATTGTGTAATAATTTGTTTTTAAATGAATGAGTATAAAGTGAGCTAAAGACTGGAAACAGTCAGGGTAGGGAAGCATCTTAGGTCAGGAGACTGGCCACCTGGGCTTGCTGTAGGGTCAGTAACTGTTTTTCTCCCCTGTCCCCCAGGCTCCTGGTGGAAGATGGGACTGCTGAAGCTGTGGTGACCTGTAGGGATCATCATGTGGCAGCAGCTCTAGGGCTGTGTCCTAGTGAGTGGAACTCCCTCCTAGAGCGTGTCCGAATGCCAGGGAGAGTGGTCTTGCACTTTATAGGGCCTGGAGCCCAACTTGAGGTGAGATGTGACCGGGAAGTAGGGGCTGACACCCAGATTCCTGGGGGTTTGGTAGAGGGTTTAGGAGCTTGGGTTCTGATTAATCCTGAGATTCCCTTTCTAGTCCTCAGCCAAGATTGATGAGCCCTTGACCCTCTTCCTCTGGACACTCTGTACCAGCCTCTCTGTCCTCCGCCCCATTATGCTTTCTTTTGAGCTTGAGAGGAAACCCTCTAAGATCCTCCCATTAGGTAAGGGTGGAGTTGGTGGGAGGTGGGCAGATAGCTGGCTCCTAGGGAGGAGGGGGATGAGGGACTGGGGATTTCTGGAGCTGGGGAGGAGAATGGTGGATGACTAAAACTGCATACATGGGGCATGTGTTTTTTTCTCTCTTCTGATCTTAGAACCTCCCCGGCTACAGCGTTTCCAGTGTGGGGACTTCCCTCTCCTGACTCGTGTGAATCCCAGACTGCAGCTGTCATGCCTCTCTATTCAGGAGCAAGAACACCCCAGCTCTCTGGGGGCCTTTGCTTCCCCCTGTTAGCCTGGACTGCAAGGAGGACCTGAAAGTTCTTGCCTTGCTGGAAACCTTAAGGCCTGGGTCCTAGTTCTTCCTCTTTGTGGTTGCCTCTACTTCCTCTGTGATTGAGCCAGGAGCCTAGATCCTTGTATTCACAAACTGCTACCTCACTGTAATTTCTTCTCCTTGGTCCCAGATGAGGGACCTAGCATGGTGGAGCCAGCCTGCCTTGTGAGAGAAATTGTGGAAACAGGCAAATCATGCTGCTGTTAATATTTCCTCTCTGGTTGAGGTCAAGGCATCTGTACTCACAGGTGGCCCTGAGCATCAGGGTCCTGCCTTTGTGGCAGGGGTCAGAGAACCAAAAGACTTGCATCTCGTAGGGGTGCTGGTGACAGGCCCTTGGCCTGTAATAAAGCTCTCTAGTAATATTTCTCACTTGCATTCATTTCTGGGGTCCTAGGTCTCCTGATCCCCTAGTATCTGGCCCATGGTTCACAGTTGTTTTTATTCTTACTTGTCACCAGTGCCAGAGCTGGGAGAAGGTTTGGAGGAGAGGTGCAGTCCATGCCCTCAAGAGCTGGTCCAGCAGAGGAGATGATACCAGAAGTCAGGGACCATAAGGGAGTAAATTAGGGAGTGGGGACAGGGCAGAAAATGGCTATGATGATCTCAGTCAGCAAGGTTCGTCCCTGGAAGAAGTCAAGTTGAGATCTAGAGTTGTTGGAGGCACAAGATGTGGGGGGGGGAGGAGGAGTGAAGCACTAGGAGGGACGTGAGGAGAGGGCACCTATACTGTGGAACAATGGTCAGGAGTCAGTGCTGTGGGTCCCCCATGGCCCAGGCCTAAGGCAGATAGATGCTTGATCAACACCACGAGACCTGTGAAAACTAAATCAGAACCCACAGAGTTAGGGGTTGCTGGAACAATTATTTTGGGGTGCTCATGCAGTTGGCTGGTGTCACCCCATTTCTTTCCTGGGTAGAGAGGTAGAGCTGAGCCATACCTCTTACAGCTGTTCAGAGGGCACTCCTTTTTTGGCCATCCGGGATCGGTTCTAATTTGCATTTGGAAGCCCTCTGGAGTGCTTCCAAGTCCACGCAGGAAGATAAAGAATTCCTTAAGTTTGAAATCATCGTGTGCTTGTAGTTTAGCGTTGCCACACTATGTGGAAACAAGCAGGACGCCTTTACAGGTGGCCGGTTAGCTCAGTTGGTTAGAGCGTGGTGCTAATAACGCCAAGGTCGCGGGTTCGATCCCCGTACGGGCCAAAGGGTTTTTTTTTCCTCTCTTCTCACGTAGAAGTTTCTACCTGGAACCAAACCTACATGGGATCCACTGCTTCTCAACAATCTCAATTCCTTGCGCACTGCAAGGCTTGGAATTGGGGAGCTTCATGGCTGTGGCAGAGGGAACGCTCCCCCGTGTCTTTTCTTCCCTGATAGCGCGTTGTTGGAGACCGGCAGGAGAATCGGGAAGATCCAGGGCAAGAATCCCAGAAAGGCGGACAGTAGTGGCGCGGAGCTGCGAACGAAAGGGCGTTCCCTTTTCTGTCCTGCTTTGGCGTTTGCACCGTCCGGCTTCCCAGCCGATGTCGGCAGGCTCCTACAGGCCCAGAAGCCAGAAGAACGCAACGGGGATGGGAAGGTGAAGTAGTTCCGGTGCAGGGAAACTAAGAAAGAAACAGCTCAAGGATGTTTTCTGGAACCGGGTAGTCGTGGCCGAGTGGGTAAGGCGATGGACTAGAAATCCATTGGGGTCTCCCCGCGCAGGTTCGAATCCTGCCGACTACGGAAGGGTTTTCTTTTCCTCTAACATGGTGATCACATTTCTTTTACCTGGTCCAGTCGGCACCTCCTGAAATTCCTCGGTTTCGAGAATCCTAGCCCCCGGGGATGTCTCGACCGTTCACCTTGGGTTACTGCTGAGATCTTTGATGTATTTCTTTAACAACGGGGGATTCTATTGAATGGATACACGGAGTAAAATCTGCAGATTCGCCAAATTAATTATAGAAAGATCTGAAAAATTTTAATAGGATGTGGGGCCAGGCCCTGAGTGAGAGGTATAATCCCTGTAAGGCAGTTTCCAGAACGCGGTGGGCAGCGTCGGCGCCGTGGCTTAGTTGGTTAAAGCGCCTGTCTAGTAAACAGGAGATCCTGGGTTCGAATCCCAGCGGTGCCTTTATCTAGCGAGGAGGGGGAATCTTCCGTTTTGTTGCTGAAGCCACATTTCTTAAATTGATTGTTTTTATTCTGGACCGCGCAAGGGTTCCAGTTCTGCACTCAAATCACTCAAATTTCCCGCTGAGATAGCCGCCCTCGACCATAGCAGGATTCCTGCGCAGGCCTACGTCTTCGTTTGCCCAGCTCCACACTCGACTGGTGGCCTGGCCGCAGGCGGCACCGTAAACTCCACGAGAGGAGCTGCCCCACCACCCAGGCTTCTTCCCCTGCACCGGTACTACCCCCACAACCTGAAGGCGCTTTGTTTTGCTCTCTTTTGGCTTTGGGGTTCTTCTTTTTTGGGGGTTGGGCAGTGCGGCTTCTAAGTGCAGACCAGTATCAGTTCCTTGACTAGAGACATCTCTATTGCTCTCCACAAGTGGGCAGTCAAGGTTAGGAGTTAGCAGTAGGAGAAGGCTGGTCTGGCGCCATCTGGTTTCCTGCGCGAGGGCGCTGAAGGGCCAGGATCATGTGGACAGGGAGGGAGAGCGTTATTTGCGGTGGGGTCTCCAGGGTTCCTGGTGTGGGCAAGGAGCGTTTCTGCAGCACTGAAGCCAGGTTGATAAGGGTAGAAGTAAATGCTGGGGAGAAGGAGGCGAAAGGTAGGATCCGTGGGTTGTCTGCATGTCCTAAACCTCCCTGTAAGAAAGGCAGAAAGGTCTGGACACCATCCTTTGGCCCAGGAACAAATGTCTGAAGGAATTGCTATCACCAGGTGACAGGTCAAAAAATTATGCAGCACGGCTGAAACCACATTTGTGCCAAGCACGGGCTGGACACTGTGCACCCGATGAATAAGGCACAGCCTCTTAAAACACTCACAGGAAAACACAATCGCAACCCAATGCACTAAAGGCAGTGACAGAGAGGGACAGGGTGCTGTGTGAACATGGAGAAGTGGCATCTCATGGGTCTGCTGGTGGAGAGTGGTCAGGGAAGGCTTTCTGGATAAGGTGAACTAAGTCTTAAGACCAAGCAGGAATTTGCCATCTGTTCTATTAAACAGCTACTCTGTACCAGGCATTGTTCTGGCTCTGGGAATACAGCAGGGAGCAAAATAGGAGAAAATCTCTTCCTCCTGGAGTTTATACTGGGGAAGAGGAGGGAGAAACAGATAACAAACATAACAAAATAAAAATGGAATTATATAGTATGCTAATAAATGCTACATAGAAAAATAACCCAAGGGATCAGAGAGTGTGTGTGTGGAGTGGGCAGGGGCTGGTTGCAGAAATGTCAAAGGTTTGCACCAGGGTAGTTGTAGGAGAGATGGAGAGGGGGGACAAATTCAAGACTTGTTTAGGATAAAGAAACAATAGAACTTGGTAACTGATTGGATATGGAGTCTGAAGAAGAGAGAATTCAGGATATCAGGGTTCTTCTTTAGGGGGTACCACCACCTCCAATTCACTAAGAATATCTTCTCACCCTTTCCTACCTGGTATTTTTTTCAGACAATTGTGACTACGCAAAGCTACACCTTAAAACTCATTCTTTCAGTGTAAAGTTTGACTCCTGTTAAAGTGTAAAACTCTTCCACCAAGATTTAAAGTTTTTGGATTCTAAAAGTGAGGTCCATGGATGAGGCTTCAGAGTACCTGCGAACTCCTGATATTGTATGTATTTTTCCAGGAAGAGGGGCCATAACCTTCATCATATTCTGTAAAGAATTTATGCCTCAGCCTCAGTGCAGATTAAGTGCTGAGAGCAGGCAAGAGGAAGACGCCTGGAGGACTTGGTGGGGAGTGGTGGGTGGGGATGGAGGAACTTTGGGAAAGCTGGTGTCCAAAAGGAGGGAGATAAGAATTAGAAAAGGAGGTATACCAGAATATCAGCCCTTGGTGCCTTCTCATCCACCTGGAAGGCTTGGGCTTGGCTGCCCGCTGCCGTCCTCCCTCGCTGTCTGGCCAGGGACACCTGGGAAATAAAAAACAGCTGAACCCTTCATTGGAGTCTCCTCACTTCAAAGCTATATGAGGGTTGGGTATTAGGAAGGGCTCGGCTCCACAAATCACACAACTGGGGTGTGGGACAAAATGGTTTGGGAGCCCAGAGATGCTACCAGGCTGCTCCAGGGCCACAGCAGGCAAGTCAGAACTGGTAATACTTGGAGAACTCACCAGAGCTCACTCTGAACTGTGGTAAAGCAGGATATAGGGCCTGCAAATGACCCCACCAGACCTTGCCAGGACTCTTGGCAGCCCTCAGGAAAGAGCATGATGAGTGTGTTAAGAGATTAGAAGCTCAACCAGCAGCCCTGAGACTGGACGGCCACAAAACTGGGCCTCCCGGTGTTGGATCATCTCCACTTGGCTCCTTGCCTAGAGCCCCTTACCTTCAGGGGGTCTTAGGTGGGAGGTAGGAGGGTCTCCTTCTGAGTCATCCCAGGAGAGAACTGGAGAGCAGAGGTTAGACGGGAGGAGAGGGAGACCCTAATCTTACAGGCAGGCAACCCTCGGGACCAGTGCTGGCAGATGTTAGACGTTAGGGACGGCCCTGGTTGCTGGAACTGGCGCCCCTCCCCACATTGGAAAGCCGGTCTTCCCCGACCCAGCCTGCCACCCAGCTCAATAAAGTCTCCTCCGTGGGTCTTCATGGTCCCGGGAATTACTCTCCCTGAACCCTCGCCTGGGCACTGCTACGCGGTCTGGGAAACCATGTCCTATCCTGGGGTCCGGCCCGGTGCTTGCCTGGCCCGCCACTCCAAGAAGATGGACAGATGCCGATACAAGGGAGGGGATGGTGTTCACCTAGGGATTTCAGGGCCGGTTAATTGTTCCTCAGCCCGTCCCGAAACCAGGCAACTCTATCGCTTGTCTTCAAAGCTCTGCAACAGGGGGCTGGGACTGAGGACGGCCGACCCCAGATGATGGAATGGTCCCGAGACCATGACAATGGGTAGCGGGAACCTGGGTGTTCAAGGCTGACCCTGGAGGGCGGCGCCGGGATGAGGCCGAGACCCTTCTGTCTCACTTGCCCGACGCTATTTCCTGCGAGGAGTCGGAGCTCGCCGGTCCGGAGCTGAGGGAAGTTCTCAGAACCCTACTGAAAAGTATTCCATACTGTGGTACTGGTGATTCCGCAGCGCACCTTGACGACTGTTACGACCTCTAAAGGAGTCCGCGGGCCGACCTACGCATCGGCTCGTTGGTCTAGGGGTATGATTCTCGCTTCGGGTGCGAGAGGTCCCGGGTTCAAATCCCGGACGAGCCCAGCTTTTATTTTTGCTGAGATTAAAGTGCCCCAAGGTGTCTATTGCTTCAAATGCGCTGCGGGAGGCAGAACTGGAAAGGCAACAGTGTGAACCGAGTGGTGGGAGGAAGTGTGACTGCATGGAGCTCTTGTGCTCTGAATGGACGCTTCGGAAGCCGGAAGAAGCTCCCAGGACGTAGTCCTGGCTGGCGTGTGAGGAAGGGTGGAGGCATGTACCGACTTGGGCAAGACGATCACTTTTTGCCCCTGGCTTTCCTAGCTTGGTGCCTCACACTTGCCTCCAGAGCCCTGATTACGGATTGACTGATGCCAGTTAACCTACAGTTGAAGATGACAGGCGGTGAAGTAGAGTGCGTTCGGGAGAATCCGGGAACTGACAGAACTCGGGTCTCTGCAACCTTGGAGACTCTCTGGCTGGTCTCTCTCGGACCCTCCAGCTCGTTTCTGCCCTCCTGGGGACTCGCGCTCCGTCATTATCTTGAATGTAGGTGGTTTTCTGTTCAATATTCTTCAATGGTCGGAAGGCCAGAACCCCGAGGTACTTCGCGCTTAACGCGCTGCGCTCGGTGTAAGTCTCACATCAAGAGTTTACAGCAGCAAACTTGTTTAAGCTAATTCCTCGTTAGTATAGTGGTGAGTATCCCCGCCTGTCACGCGGGAGACCGGGGTTCGATTCCCCGACGGGGAGAATGCGTGTCTCTTTTCTTTCCGATTTTAAAATCCGTTAAATTCTGTTTATTCAGGAAATAACTCGGCCTGAGCCGTAGGATTGAGACAAAAGAGAGAGAGAGAGAGGAAGGGTTTGGAGGACTTTGTCCTGACTTTGGAGCTCACATTCTAAATTTCTATTTTACTTCAAGTACCTTGCGTGTTAAATGTGTGGCTAATTTATCTTTTTCTTAAGTCTCAGGTTGAAACTGAGCAAAGAACTTTCAACGTCCCTCCCCCACACACCCGACGCGCCGTCCCAGGTGGATGCCCGCAAGGTCCAGGATGCCAAGACTGCTTTTTGTTTGTTTTCTTTCGCCTCCTCCCTCTTATGTCTGTAGATTTGGGATGCAGAGCAGGCGATACTGGCGGAGGCCCCGGCGCGCTGTTCTCGCAGGGAAAAGCGTGCAAGGGCGTATCTATCAAGAGTAGGGGCTGGTCGAGATTGCAGGCATAGGAGGGCAGGTCCTCTGGAAAGGAGTGGTCCTTGTGACACCCCTCGTCGCACAACACCGGGACTCAGGGAACGAGGCGAAAAGAAGAGGACAGAGAAAGAACTGCGTTTGGCTGGGAATTGAACCCGACTTAACTGCTGATAATGCAGTTATGCGCACCACTATGTCACCAGCGCTAACTGGCCGCACTTGAACTTAGGAGATAGCCAACGCCTAAAAACGTCGACAGGATCGTGGCCTCAGTGATACGACTTCGGGGTTGAGCCAGAGTTATATGAAAGGCGGGCACCAGTGAGTCTGAGGGTCTGAGGTAGAAGCAACCGCTGCGGTGTGCCGAGGGCCCTTCAGTAAGCGGCGCGCGGCTCCCACCACCGCTAAAGCGCACCAGTCACCCCATGTAAGACTGTGTGATTATACCGTCTACTGATGAAGAAGCCAAGGTCTAGAGACGCTAACTAGGGGGTTTCCTGACTCACAGGCAGAGTCTAGATTAAATCTAACATTTGTCCAGGGGGCAAAGAGTGCAGCGAGACCATAACGACTTATCTGCAGGAAAAAAAAAAAATCCAAACACATAAAATTAGCTTCTCTATCGATTGAGCTCAGCGCAACCTAGGTTAAAACCAAGTGCGCCTAACCACAATTTGCACCTCTTTGTCATTTCCCCAGAGGAAGAGTTAAATTCCTATGTGCAGTTGTAAAGGACGTAAGTAATGTCACCCAACAACCTTCACCGAACACACAATAAAATATTAATTAAAAAATAATCCTATGTGCGGACGCTTTTAGTCGGCTCCAGACCGGGAAAATGATTCAAAACCTTAGGGGCGGAGCTTGAGGATAAAGCTCCACCCTTCATTGCTGATGATACATCTGTTCACGAGATCCATCAAATATTAACTTCGAGAAGGCCTCGTGGCGCAACGGTAGCGCGTCTGACTCCAGATCAGAAGGTTGCGTGTTCAAATCACGTCGGGGTCATGGGGATTATACGTTTTCGGTAATCAAGGAGGGTACTCTTTTTATTATATGAGAAAAATACGAACCTGAGTGTTTCTGTGTGTGTGTGTGTGTGTGTGTGTGTGTGTGTGTGTGTGTGTTTTCTAACATATCTCAACATTCATTTTCATCTTACTGTTTCCTCGAATGAACCAATTAAAGTAGTAATCCTTTTAATCTCATAAATATTTTAGGTTAACACAGAATTGTTAATGAATATTCTCCAATCTTGTTCAGAAAACGTATTTGGCACAATTACTTTCTTTCAAATACATTTCTTTATTGGAAAGAATGCAGCAATAATTGATAATTTTTAAAGTAACAATAGTCATTTATAATCATTATCCTAAGCAGTATTTTCATTTTTGGCAAATTAACTTCCACTTGCCAGTCACGTCATAATCTTGCACTCTATTATTTTCAATCATCACTGTAATATAAATATGGCTCTATAGTCTTCATAATAAAAATTTTAATGACCACCTAAAATTCTAGGGCAATTCTGCACATTATTAAGCAATTCTTCTAAAGCCAGACATTTCAGTGGTTGGATTACCTGTACTTTTTTTTCTTATTATTGCCGTGAGCATCTTTGTGCATCCTTTTTTTCTTTGCCAATACAGAATTAAGTCTATCACATAAATTCCTGACACTCGAGTTCCCGGGTTAAAGGTCATCCTTAGCTGTACTGTATTGATAACTGTGGTGTTTTGCTTAGCTGCCATCAGTCGCCCCGAACTCATGAAGACCCCATGCACAGCAGAACAAAAAGCTGCCCAGTCCTGCGCCATTCCCATGATTAGTTGCGGACCTGACAATTGTGCTCCATAGGGTTTTCAGTGGCTAATTTTTGGAACTAGATCGCCAGGTCTTACTTTCACCCCTAACTGTACTGCTGGCCAACGGGCTGTGTTATTTTTTCAAACAAAAATGCATTTCCTTTCTTTCTCTCTTTCCTTCTTTTGTATTTCTTTTCTTTTTTCTTAATTATTGTTTTCATTGTTGTCTTCTTGTATTTAGAATTTTGGTCCAAATTTAAAAAAATATATATATTTTTTTAAACATCTCTGATGTTCTATCCACGTCAACGTGAAATAGAACACAATGATATTAAATACAAATATCACCTTTGCCCATACTTCTCAGAAATCACTAGAAGCCAGGAGGAGCCACGTGCATTTTTCTGCCTCTGGTATATGGAAAGAAAACAGAAAGAAAGAAAGAAAGAAATCCAGGCCAGCCACCCCATGAGCCTTGTCTTTCCTAGTGGGAAATTTCTTTCCTTGACATCTAAAAGTAGGCCTGTCTTTATGTTAGTCACCACTGTTCACCCAGCAGACATCCTCCCAGGCTGGAAACTGTGCTTTGCCCTCTCCTTCCTTCCCCTGCCCCCAGTCTTCTGTCAGAGCAGTCACTGTGTCACGTGTACCAAAACAGAGGCAGATAATAGACCAGCCCTTGTGCAGAAGCTGTGCTTGTTCAAAATTGAAGAACTGCTGACGACTTAGCAAGGCAATAGCCCAGGATCTCTGGCAACCTAACTGGGGTGGTGTGAGGCAGCTGGTCCTGCAGTCTTGCTGCCCCTTGGCCGCCCACCCTAAGCAGAGTACTTTGCCTGAATTATTTATAAGGATTACAAAATGGGAATTTTCTAATTCTCTTTTCTTCTATGTTTATTAGCTGACATTCGTTCATAAAGATCCTTCTCTTATCCACTGGGGCCAGGTGACTTATTAGTTGTAAGAATAGCTAACATTGAGGGTTACCATGTGTCAGGCACTGTGCTAAGAGCTTCAATGACCTTACTGCATTTAATCCAGACAACAGTCCTGCAAGGCAGGATAAATAAGCTCATTTTAGGGCTCACACTCAGGGATTAAACACAAACACGTTGCCTAAACCATACAGGTTGCAAGTGGCAGATTCAGAGTCAAACCTGTGACATACGGGCCCCTTTCTACTATATTCTACTGCATGGTGTTCCATAAAAGCCTCATGATGAGTGACTGAATGAGGTCTGTGACCCTAGGGAGGGAAGGATGGTCATACAGTTTGCTTTACAGTCCAGAAGAGTCCTGAGCATACAAGGGATTGAATACTGATAGTCTGAAGATCAAATCCAGCCTGCAAACTTGTTTGGTAACTGATGTGCCAACATTTACAGCTCAGTAAATTAACCACATAAATCTAGACTTCTAGCTTTTCTTTAAAAATATTAAGACCTGGCCATGCTTGAGCTACACTTCCACATGGTAACAATCCACTAGAGCTAAGTATTGCCTTGCTCTTTGAGGCATAGACTCTCCCATTTGCCACACTTTCCACTACTCCCTATTGTTTCCCCAACTGAAATTGAGCTCCAGTTGTTTTACTGTTACTTAGTCTACTTTACTCATACACCACCCTGGCTGTCAGACATTCTGAAAGCCTGGCATTCAGAAAAGGCCCTGAATTTTTGGTACAGACAGCATCGTAAGTCTCCGCTCCGCCATTCCTCTTTTGCTTCAAATGCACAGCAATTGTAGATAAAATATTTTTAAAAAGTGAACTAAAAGGCTATAACCAGTCACACGAACAAAATAAACAATTCAGTACCACAAATGCAAAGCCTTGAATGGGGCTGATGTTACAGGTCTGCAGGGCTTGAGGCCTGGAAGCAGCAGCAGGAGCTAGGTGTTCAGGTCCAGTAGGGAAACAGGGACTAACTGGGGACATGGTGCTGGAGCCAGGCTCACTGTTTGAAGCCAGAACAGGAATGGAATCCTTATATCAGAAAAGGAAGCTATAAACTGCCAACTCCTTGAGGGAGGACTCAGATATAGCCTCAAGAACTGAAACTGAATCAACTTGCGTTCTGCTCACTGACTGCATTTGAGACACCCCCAGAATCACTGTGGGTCAGGAGCCCCAAAATAAGACTTGTTTTTTAGCTGGGAGCAAGGAGGCTAGTTAAAGGCGATGGCCTAATTGTTGGTCAGGGAGAAGTGACCAACCTCACTCAAAGGAAGAGAGAGAGAGAAAACAAAATAAAAAGATATCCCAGCCGAAATGAAGTTACAAACCCAAATCCCAAAACATGAAGAAATGTCAGACTTAGAGAGGTGAAAAAGTCGATAATAAGAATATGGATTCACTCCAGGTGATAGGCTAATATCCATATGCCTACAAGGAAGACCAGTTAATACGACTGTTATTCAAATTTACCCACCAACCACTAATGTCAAAGATGAGGAAACTGAAGATTTTTACCAACTTCTGCAGTCTGAAATTGATCAAACACGCAATCAAGATGCATTAATAATTACTGGTGATTGAAATGCAAGAGTTGAAAACAAAAAAGAAGGATCGGGAGTTGGAACATATGGCCTTGATGATAGGAATGACACCGGAGATCAAATGACAGAATTTTGCAAGACCAACGACTTCTTTGTTGCAAATACCTTTTTCAGTAACACAAATGGCAGCCTTACCAGATGGAATACACAGGAACCAAATCGACTGCATCTATGGAAAGAAAGGATGGCAAAGTTCAACATCACCAGTCACAGCAAGACCAGGAGTCGACTGCAGAACAAACCATCACTTGCTCATATGCAAGTTCAAGTTGAAGCTGAAAAAAATTAAAACAGGTCCATGAGAGCCAAAGTATGACCTTACATATATCCCACGTGAATTTAGAGATCATCTCAAGAATAGATTTGACATGTTGAACACTAATGATGAAACATGAGACCAGTTGTGGGATAACATCAAGAACATCATACATGAAGAAAGCAAAAGGTCATTAAAAAGACAGGAAAGAAAGCAAAGACAAAAACGGATGTCACAAGAGACTCTGAAACTTGCTCTTGAACAAAGAGCAGCTAAAGCAAATGGAAGAAATGATGAAGTAAAAGAGCTGAACAGAAGATTTCAAACGGTGGCTCGAGAAGACAAAGTAAAGGATTATAACGAAATGTGCAAAGACCTGGCATTAGAAAACCAAAAGGGAAGAACATGCTCAGCATTTCTCCAGCTGAAAGAGCTGAAGAAAAAACTCAAGCCTCAAGTTGCAATTTTGAAGGATTCTATGTGGAAAATATTGAATGACGCAGGAAGCATCAAAAGAAAATGGAAGCAATACATAGAGTCACTGTACCAAAATGAGTTGGTCAACATTCAACCATTTCAGGAGGTAGCATATACTCAAGAAACAATGGTATTGAAGGAAGAAGTCCAAGCAGCACTGAAGACATTGGCAAAAACAAGGCTTCAGAATACCAATTGAGATGTTTCCACAAACGGATTCAGCGTTGGAGATGCTCATTCGTCTATGCCAAGAAATTTGGAAGACAGCTACCTGGCCAGCCGACTAGAAGAGATCCATATTTGTGCCCATTCTAAAGAAAGGTGATCCAACAGAATTCAGAAATTATCAAACAATATTCTTAATATCACACGTAAGTAAAATTTTGCTGAAGATAATTCAAAAGCGATTGCAGCAGTATATCAACAGGAAACTACCAGAAATTCAAGCCCGATTCAGAAGAGGGCGTGGAATGAAGGATATCATTGCTGATGTTAGATGGATCTTGGCTAAAAGCAGAGAATACCAGAAAGATGTTTACCTGTGTTTTATTGACTATGCAAAGGCATTTGACTGTGTGGATCATAACAAATTATGGATAACATTGCAAAGAATGGAAATCGCAGAACAATTATGCTCGTACAGACCCTGTACGTAGACCAAGGGGCCGTCATTCAAACAGAACAAGAGGATGCGGTGTGGTTTAAAGTCAGGAAAGGTGTGCGTCAGGGTTGTATCTTTTCATCATACTTACTCAATCTGTATGCTGAGCAGATAATCTGAGAAGCTGGACTATATAAAGAAGAACTCGGCATCAGGACTGGAGGAAGACTCTTTAACAACCTGCGATATACAGATGATACAACCTTGCTTGCTGAACGTGAAGAGGACTTGAAGCACTTACTGAGGAAGATCG